CTCTGCAGCACTCCACGACTCGGGCCTTTACGGTGGAGTGGCCAGACGGATGCCACTCCTCAGTAAAAGGCACATGACAGCCCGCTTGGAGTTTGCCAAAAGGCACCTAAATGACTCTCAGACTAGAAGAAACAAGATTCTCTGGTCTGATGAAACCAAGATTGAACTCTTTGGCCTGAATGCCAAGCGTCACGTCTGGAGGAATCCTTGCACCATCCCTATGGTGAAGCTTGGTTTCAGCATCATGCTGTGGGGATGTTTTTCAGTGGCAGGGACTGGGAGACTAGTCAGGATCGAGGGAAAGATTAATGGAGCAAAGAACAGAGATAACCTTGACGAAAACCTGCTCCAGAGCGCTCAGGACCTCAGACTGGGGCGAAGGACAACGACCCTAAGCACACAGCCAAGACAATGCAGGAGTGGCTTCGAGACAAGTCTCTGAATGTCCTTGAGTGGCCCAGCCAGAGCCTGGACTGGAACCCGATCTAACATCTCTGGAGAGACCTGAAAATATCCAACCTGACAGAGTTTGAGAGAATCTGCAGAGAAGAATGGGAGAAACTCTCCAAATGCAGGTGTGCCAAGCTTGTAGTGTCATACCCTAGAAGACTTGAGGCTGTAATCTCTGCCAAAGGTGCTTTAACAAAGTATTGAGTAAAGGGTCTGAATACTTATGTAAATGTATTATTTCAGTTTGTAATATTTTATAAATTTCAAACATTTCTAAAAAACAGTTTTTGCTTTGTCATTATGGGGTATTGTGTCTAGATTGATGAGGGGAAAAAACAATTAAATCAATTTTAGAATAAGGCTGTAACGTAACAATGTGGGAAAAGTCAAGGGGTCTGAATACCTGCCGAATGCACTATAAAAGTATAGATGCATTTCTTTAATACACTACATTTGGCAGCCTCATCCATTCCTGTCCTTATATGTCAGCCTTATTCATGTGAACATATTTGCCACTTGTTTGAATGTAGTCATGCTGGCTTCGTCTCTGTTGTCATTGGATCGTGTTGACTGTACACTCTGTCTATTTTGTGTGGTCGCATTTGCTTACGTTTGCTCCCATAGCAGTGTCTCATCTCTGATAGCTAAATGTGATGGCGTATCCGTTGTCGTGCATTATAACTATAAGCCCTGTTATATGATCTTAGTGGAAATCTCTCTGATTAAGATCCTAATGAGTTGGACCTTGCAGAAGGGTGTCATGGGAGAGACGCAGATGGGTTCTGCTGGTTCACCTTCACACCGACGTACTCAAGGTGATGAGGGGCCTATGGATTTTTCTACAGCATGTAGAGTACATATGCTTTTTTGAGCACCTTTTTGATATTGTTTTAAATAACCAATCCTTACTTTCTCTCATTTTAGTTAGTCCATGTTTGGACAATCTTTTTACATTTCTCTGAATTACCAAAATTCTATGACTTACACTCCCATCTTGAGAACATCCTGCTTTCTCTGTCACCCTGTTCTAAACACACACACACATACAGATGGCAGGGGAACATGTAGACCGGCGACAAGAGACCGAAATAGAAGTTGTCAGACTCCTGTCGTAAGCTAGTTCCCTCTGTGAGGAGGGAGATGCCAGCCATCAACTATGCTGTCAGCCCAGAGTAGGAAGACTTCCTGTCATAAATGTATGAGGCCTGCGCTGAGTCACTGATTCATGGAATATGCTCTTTGAATTCTGTTGCCTGGTGAGGATGAATGATTGAATGGCTCCTATATACACTGCTCAAAAAAATAAAGGGAACACTTAAACAACACAATGTAACTCCAAGTCAATCACACTTCTGTGAAATCAAACTGTCCACTTAGGAAGCAACACTGATTGCCAATAAATTGCACATGCTGTTGTGCAAATGGAATAGACAACAGGTGGAAATTATAGGCAATTAGCAAGACACCCCCAATAAAGGACTGGTTTTGCAGGTGGTGACCACAGACCACTTCTCAGTTCCTATGCTTCCTGGCTGATGTTTTGGTCACTTTTGAATGCTGGTGGTGCTTTCACTCTAGTGGTAGCATGAGACAGAGTCTACAACCCACACAAGTGGCCCAGGTAGTGCAGCTCTTCCAGGATGGCACATCAATGTGAGCTGTGGCAAGAAGGTTTGCTGTGTCTGTCAGCGTAGTGTCCAGAGCATGGAGACGCTACCAGGAGACAGGCCAGTACATCAGGAGACGTGGAGGAGGCTGTAGGAGGGCAACAACCCAGCAGCAGGACTGCTACCTCCGCCTTTGTGCAAGGAGGAGCAGGAGGAGCACTGCCAGAGCCCTGCAAAATGACCTCCAGCAGGCCACAAATGTGCATGTGTCTGCTCAAATGGTCAGAAACAGACTCCATGAGGGTGGTATGAGGGCCCGATGTCCACAGGTGGGGGTTGTGCTTACAGCTCAACACCGTGCTTACAGCTCAACACCGTGCAGGATGTTTGGCATTTGCCAGAGAACACCAAGATTGGCAAATTCGCCACTGGCGCCCTGTGCTCTTCACAGATGAAAGCAGGTTCACACTGAGCACTTGTGACAGACGTGACAGAGTCTGGAGACGCCGTGGAGAACGTTCTGCTGCCTGCAACATCCTCCAGCATGACCGGTTTGGCGGTGGGTCAGTCATGGTGTGGGGTGGCATTTCTTTGGGGGGCCGCACAGCCCTCCACGTGCTCGCCAGAGGTAGCCTGACTGCCATTAGGTACCGAGATGAGATCGGTTGGCCCTGGGTTCCTCCTATTGCAAGACAATACTAGACCTCATGTGGCTGGAGTGTGTCAGCAGTTCCTGCAAGAGGAAGGCATTGATGCTATGGACTGGCCCGCCCGTTCCCCAGACCTGAATCCAATTGTGCACATCTGGGACATCATGTCTCGCTCCATCCACCAACGCCACGTTGCACCACAGACTGTCCAGGAGTTGGCGGATGCTTTAGTCCAGGTCTGGGAGGAGATCCCTCAGGAGACCATCCGCCACCTCATCAGGAGCATGCCCAGGCGTTGTAGGGAGGTCATACAAGCACGTGGAGGCCACACACACTACTGAGCCTCATTTTGACTTGTTTTAAGGACATTACATCAAAGTTGGATCAGCCTGTAGTGTGGTTTTCCACTTTAATTTTGAGGGTGACTCCAAATCCAGACCTCCATGGGTTGATAAATTTGATTTCCATTGATAATTTTTGTGTGATTTTGTTGTCAGCACATTCAACTATGTAAAGAAAAAAGTATTTAATAAGATTATTTCATTCATTCAGATCTAGGATGTGTTATTTTAGTGTTCCCTTAATTTTTTTGAGCAGTGTATGTGGGCCACTGCACTGACCCAGGTTAGGGACGGGAAGCATGGTCAAGTCTTGTGGCTGAGCCATTTTAAACAGTGGTTTATGTATTCATATGTTTCGCATCAAATAGATTGAAGTTCAAAATATCTAAGAGACGTATCAGTATGACTTCATTTTTGTTATGAAAAGGAACAGTACAGGTTAGAATCTAAAGTGATGTGCGTGTGTGTATTTCGGGCTGTACGTGTTTCCATGTTTGCATTGTGGGAACATTGCTCCCAGTTAGAGGAGGAATCTGTGAAGCGCGTATGCACACAGAGGGCTGGCCATCCACTGACCCTGTGGGAGAGCTCTGTTGATAGACCACAGAGATACTGGTAATGCAGGGGATTACATGGAGTGTTATGAGTCTGGGGATGCCTTGTAAAGAGTCACTGATCCCACATATAGGCCTTATGGCTAGCTGGTGTCCTGTCTTTCTGATCCCAGGCCTGGCTATAGGCTATAACTTACATTGACATTAGCTGGTCATGCTGCACCTTATCCACTGACTGGACTGGAGCACACACACACTCCCATGCATTTCAACTTTGGGTGTGATATAGGCTAATCTTGTAACAGCAATATGATCTCTGGGCCTTGAATAAACCTTAAAATTCAGCTGCCACACCAAGTTTTAAAAAGTGACTTGTCTTTGCACTTGCCGCAAACCCATATCAGATTACCAGTCAAAGATAAATTAAAGATAGAATTGCATTATTAATATACATTTCATCATTCATTGATGCATAACAATGTCGTCATTGATATTTATAATGTGGTGTCGACCATTTCATTGGAACACATTTTTCCCTCATTAACAGTGTAATAATACCTGAATGTATGAATGATACATTTCAGGCTCTTGACACCACTAGTTTAGATGGCTCCTGTTACCTAATCCATCTCAATGAACTGTGCTTTCAGTGTTGGTAATTTTACTCAGTGCTAAACATTTGATTCAGCACTGCCAGAATATTCAATTGAAAGAAGTGTAACATTGCCATAAAATCTCTCTCTCAAATAATTGGACCTTGAAATATGACACTCCTAGTATTTGGCTACAGGTAGACAATTATGTTGAAGAAATTGCCTACAAGTCCCAGAGTACTTTGCTTTTTTGTGCATCATGACATCACTGTCAACATACTTTTCAGATAGTTTTAACTCGGTTGAGAAGCACACATCACCACACAGTGTTCCCACAAATGTACATTTGAAAGGGAACGTTTCCTCTTGGTAAGTACCACTTTTCTTTGTTTGTTTTTAATATAAAGAAAAGCCCAATACTACACCAAAGAAGGTTAGTAAACTAGCTAGCTGTCAAGCTAGCACATCGGCTCTGTGTTGCTGTCGCCATGGTAACGGGCTCGTGAGGGCCTGGCGTTTTGTTAGCTGATTTTGTTGGTATCATCTGATCCATCCTATCCCCAACCAATGACAGGAATAGCGCTATCACCCGCCATCACATCTAGCTATAAATAAATGTGGCATGATGAATTAAGCATATGAAATCCAAACCATTCTCATTTGTGTGAAATTGCATTATACAAGTTCATGCACTTAGCAGAGGTCTCTGTTGCTAAGAAAAGAACACACATAATGATGAATTGTAAATGTATGATGATAGCTGTGTGTTTTCAAAACCACTAAGTCGCTCCAGCTGTTTCCTCAGGTGTGGTGTTATGAACCAGTATGAGGTGGTCCATCAGATTGGAGAGGGGGCGTTTGGGAAGGCCTTCTTGGCCCGGGACAGGGACAGAGACGGGGGTGGTGAGAGCCAGTGCGTGGTCAAAGAGATCAACCTCAGAAAGGTACCAACCATAGACTTATCTGTGATGCTCATCAAATCATAACCTGGCCTCTACACAACTGACTGCATTGTTTTAACCAGTAGACCAGTAATGTGTTATGATCATTTCCATCCCCTTTTTTGTTGTCATTCATAGATGTCACCTATGGAAAAGGAAGCATCCAAAAAGGAAGTCATGCTGCTTGCAAAGATGAAGCATCCAAATATCGTCACCTTTTTCAAATCATTTCAGGGTTTGTATCCAGTCAATATGTCTGTGTGTGTGTGCATGCATGCATACGCGCTTACAGTGGGGGAAAAAATTATTTAGTCAGCCACCAATTGTGCAAGTTCTCCCACTTAAAAAGATGAGAGAGGCCTGTAATTTTCATCATAGGTACACGTCAACCATGTCAGACAAAATGAGAAAATATTTTCCAGAAAATCACATTGTAGGATTTTTAATGAATTTATTTGCAAATTATGGTGGAAAATAAGTATTTGGTCAATAACAAAAGTTTCTCAATACTTTGTTATATACCCTTTGTTGGCAATGACACAGGTCAAACGTTTTCTGTAAGTCTTCACAAGGTTTTCACACACTGTTGCTGGTATTTTGGCCCATTCCTCCATGCAGATCTCCTCTAGAGCAGTGATGTTTTGGGACTGTCGCTGGGCAACACGGACTTTCAACTCCCTCCAAAGATTTTCTATGGGGTTGAGATCTGGAGACTGGCTAGGCCACTCCAGGACCTTGAAATGCTTCTTACGAACCCACTCCTTCGTTGCCTGGGCGGTGTGTTTGGGATCATTGTCATGCTGAAAGACCCAGCCACGTTTCATCTTCAATGCCCTTGCTGATGGAAGGAGGTTTTCACTCAAAATCTCACGATACATGGCCCCATTCATTCTTTCCTTTACACGGATCAGTCGTCCTGGTCCCTTTGCAGAAAAACAGCCCCAAAGCATGATGTTTCCACCCCCATGCTTCACAGTAGGTATGGTGTTCTTTGGATGCAACTCAGCATTCTTTGTCCTCCAAACACGACGAGTTGAGTTTTTACCAAAAAGTTATATTTTGGTTTCATCTGACCATATGACATTCTCCCAATCCTCTTCTGGATCATCCAAATGCACTCTAGCAAACTTCAGACGGGCCTGGACATGTACTGGCTTAAGCAGGGGGACACGTCTGGCACTGCAGGATTTGAGTCCCTGGCGGCGTAGTGTGTTACTGATGGTAGGCTTTGTTACTTTGGTCCCAGCTCTCTGCAGGTCATTCACTAGGTCCCCCCGTGTGGTTCTGGGATTTTTGCTCACCGTTCTTGTGATCATTTTGACCCCACGGGGTGAGATCTTGCGTGGAGCCCCAGATCGAGGGAGATTATCAGTGGTCTTGTATGTCTTCCATTTCCTAATAATTGCTCCCACAGTTGATTTCTTCAAACCAAGCTGCTTACCTATTGCAGATTCAGTCTTCCCAGCCTGGTGCAGGTCTACAATTTTGTTTCTGGTGTCCTTTGACAGCTCTTTGGTCTTGGCCATAGTGGAGTTTGGAGTGTGACTGTTTGAGGTTGTGGACAGGTGTCTTTTATACTGATAACAAGTTCAAACAGGTGCCATTAATACAGGTAACGAGTGGAGGACAGAGGAGCCTCTTAAAGAAGAAGTTAAAGGTCTGTGAGAGCCAGAAATCTTGCTTGTTTGTAGGTGACCAAATACTTATTTTCCACCATAATTTGCAAATAAATTCATAAAAAAATCCTACAATGTGATTTTCTGGAATTTATTTTCTCAATTTGTCTGTCATAGTTGACGTGTACCTATGATGAAAATTACAGGCCTCTCTCATCTTTTTAAGTGGAAGAACTTGCACAATTGGTGGCTGACTAAATACTTTTTTTCCCCACAGTACTTGTGTGTGTGATGTTGATCAGTTTCTCCTGTCTGAAACAGAGAGCACTAGCCTGTACATAGTGATGGAGTACTGTGATGGAGGAGATCTGATGAAGAAGATCAGTATGCAAAGAGGGGTTATGTTTACTGAGGAGCAGGTACAGACACACACACACCACAGGAGATTGGTGGCACCTTAATTGGGGATGACGGGCTCATGGTAATGGCTACAGCGGAATTAGTGGAACGGTATCAAATACATCAAATACATGGTTTCCATGTGTTTGATGCCATTCCATAAGTGCCGTTCCAGACATTATTATGAGCCGTCCTCCCCTCAGCAGCCTCCACTGACACACACCACACACACACACACACACACACACACACACACAGGGTTCAAACACATACTCATGTAAATTATTTTGTTCCCACTCAGATAGTGGATTGGTTTGTACAGATCTGTTTGGGACTGAAACACATCCACGACAGGAAGGTTTTGCACAGAGACATCAAAGCACAGGTATTAAACAGCTGTCATAGTCAGACAAAAGCCACATAGATATCAAAGCACAGGTACCACTTATAACAACTTGATTTACTCTGATCATTGTTTTGTTTTTGTATTGCTTTCCTCTAGAATATATTCCTTACCAAGAAGGGGATGAAAGCCAAGCTGGGAGACTTTGGCATCGCTAGAATGTTAAACAAGTGAGTTTCTATGATAGTGGCAGAAGACTCACAGCCAGGAAAGAGACTACTGGTATTTTCTCTATGACAGCTGCTGATTACAGAGAGCTAGGACATGTTCCAAACCATGTTATTAACATTCCACATTCCACAACCATTCTGTTACATTGTGTATTACAACTCATGTATATTTATGTTGTGATGAATGTGATTGGCTAGTACCATGGAGCTAGCCAGGACCTGTGTTGGGACGCCGTATTACCTGTCTCCTGAGATCTGTGACAACAGACCGTACAATAACAAAACGTATGTACCATATTATACTCCCTTCTTTTTATTAATATTAATAATATGCCATTTAGCAGACGCTTTTATCAAAAGCGACTTACAGTCATGCGTGCATACATTTTTGTATATGGGTGGTCCCGGGGATCGAACCCACTATCCTGGCGTTACAAGCGGCGTGCTCTACCAACTGAGCTACAGAGGACCACTCACTCTACTCTCTCTCACTCTATCTATTGATGTCTTTCTCTCTTATTCACACACAGCCTCCGACTGGGCACAGACGTCAGTTCAACAACTAGTTTTAATTTACATTTGGTTGAGTTGTCAACTAACGTGAATTCAACGTGAAATCCCCCCAAAAATTCACCATGTCGTTGGATTTAGGTAAAGAGATTAAGATTAAATGCCCTTACGTTGATGAAATCCAATTTGTTTGTTATCACATAGACTTATTTGGTTGAAATGATGTGGAAACAACGTTGATTCAACCAGTGTCTAGACCTGGAAAAGTAAAAGCCAAAATGTCAGCGTTGTGTTTTGGTGAAATTAGCTACTTTACCTCTACCTAGCATACCCGCAGGATTTCCTGTTATGTGTTTATACAACCTAAAAATAGACCCTGTGCTACTTTCTACCAATAACATATGTCGGCGGTGTCTAATATAGTGATATTTTATCTGACGAGACACTGACTGACTGTGGGGAGAAGTTAACACATTTATTCAGTATATGGCCATAACTGTTGTGTTGCAAACACCTTGCTCCATCTGACCAACTGAGCAATCAAAACACTGTGTGACATAACATATTTCGTGTTGGAACTCGTGTGTTTGTGTAAACAGTGAAGCAAGCAGACAGGACTGTCGAGCATTAGCTAGGCGCTTGATCAATCAGCCATGTGGTTGCAACTACTCCACACATTTTTTCCATCATACTCTCATTCTGGCTAGGACAGCCTGAAATCGGTGTCCTCCCTCCATTAACAGGCACACGCACGCACGCACGCACGCGCACGCACACACACACACACACACACACACACACACATACACACACACACACACACACACTTTGTCTAGGTAGCTATTGTTCTGCTTTCTAGAACTGGGCTGTTTTGACACTCGCTGGGTTAGAGAGGGCGTTCCCTGGGTTTCACTGTCACACACATTTATGTGTAATTTCCCCTCTATTAGCTCCTCACGAATGGTTTACAGATCATCATATACAGTGCATTCGGAAAGTATTCAGACCCCTTGACTTTTTCCACATTTTGTTACATTACAGCCTTATTCTAAAATGGATTTAATTGTTTTTCCCCCCTCCTCAATCTACATACAATACCCCATAATGACAAAGCGAAAACAGGTTTGTATACATTTTTGCAACAAACCCCCACCGGAAATATCATATTTACATAAGTATTCAGACCCTTTACTCAGTACAATGTTGAAGCACCTTTGGCAGCGATTACAGCCTTGAGTATTCTTGGGTATGACGCTACAAGCTTGGCACACCTGTATTTGGGGAGTTTCTCCCATTCTTCTCTGCGGATCCTCTCAAGCTCGGTCTGGTTGGATGGGGAGCGTCGCTGCACAGCTATTTTCAGGTCTCTCCAGAGATGTTCGATCGGGTTCAAGTCCGGGCTCTGGCTGGGCCACTCAAGGACATTCAGAGACTTGTCTCGAAGCCACTCCTGCATTGTCTTGGCTGTGTGCTTAGGGTTGTTGTCCTGTTGGAAGGTGAATCTGAGGTCCTGAGCGCTCTGGAGCAGGTTTTCATCAAGGATCTCTCTGTACTTTGCTCTGTTCATCTTTCCCTCGATCCTGACTGGTCTCCCAGTCCCTGCCACTCAAAAACATCCCCACAGCATGATGCTGCCACCACCATGCTTCACCGTATGGATGGTGCCAGGTTTCCTCCAGATGAGACGCTTGGCATTCAGGCCAAAGAGTTCAATCTTGGTTTCATCAGACCAGAGAATCTTGTTTCTCATGGTCTGAGAGTCTTTAGGTGCCTTTTGTCAAACTCCAAGTGGGCTGTCATGTGCCTTTTAAAGAGGAGTGGCTTCCGTCTGGCCACTCTACCATAAAGGCCTGATTGGTGGAGTGCTGCAGAGATGGTTGTCCATCTGGAAGGTTCTCCCATCTCCACAGAGGAACTCTGGAGCTCTGTCAGAGTGACCATTGGGTTCTTAGTCACCTCCCTGACCAAGGCCCTTCTCCCTCGATTGCTCTAGGAAGAGTCTTGGTGGTTCCAAACTTCTTCCATTTAAGAGTAATGGAGGCCACTGTGTTCTTGGGGACCTTCAATGCTGCAGAAATGTTTTGGTACCCTTCCCCAGATCTGTTCCTCGACACAATCCTTGTCTCTGAGCTCTACAGACAATTCCTTTGACCTCATGGCTTGGTTTTTGCTCAGACATGCACTGTCAATTGTGGGACCTTATATAGACAGGTGTGTGTCTTTCCAAATCATGTCCAATCAATTGAATTTACCACAGGTGGACTCCAATCAAGTTGTAGAAACATCTCAAGGATGATCAATTTAAACAGGATGCACCAGAGCTCAATTTCGAGTCTCATAGCAAAGAGTCTGAATACTTATGTAAATAAGATATTTATGTTTTTTATTTGTAATAAATTTGAAAATATTTCTCAAATCCTGTTTTTGCTTTGTCATTATGGGGTATTGTGTGTAGATTGATGAGGGAACATTTTATTTAATCAATTTTAGAATAAGGCTGTAACTTAACAAAATGTGGAAAAATCAAGGGTCTGAATACTTGCCGAATGCTCCTGAGTGGCGCAGTGGTCTAAGGCACTGCATCGCAGTGCTAACTGTGCCACTAGAGATCCTGGTTCGAATCCAGGCTCTGTCGCAGCCGGCCGCGACCGGGAGACTCATGGGCGGCGCACAATTGGCCCAGCGTCGTCCAGGGTAGGGGAGGGAATGGCCGGCAGGGATGTAGCTCAGTTGATAGAGCATGGCGTTTGCAACGCCAGGGTTGTGGGTTCGATTCCCACGGGGGGGCAGTATAAAAAAATATGTATTCACTAACTGTAAGTCGCTCTGGATAAGAGCGTCTGCTAAATAACTAAAATGTATGTAAATGTATGTAAAATGAATGCACTGTACATCCACCATTACCACAGCTGCAAAGTATCCTTGTGCATTTTATAATGATTGCTCTATATATTCAACAGCAATTTTTGACTGGTTCTCTTCGTTCCTCAGGGATATCTGGTCTCTGGGCTGTGTCCTGTATGAGCTCTGCACCCTCAGACATCCAGTAAGCACTGCTACAAACAAACAAATGCACACACACTCACTCACACACACACTCACACAACCACACGAATGCACACTATCTCAATAGTATTTCTCTCCACCTGCAGTTTGAGGGCAACAGCCTGAGGCAGCTGGTAGTGAAGATCTGTAGGGGGCGCTATAACCCAGTCTCCACCCGCTACTCCTACGACCTGCGCCTGCTGGTCACTCAGTTGTTCAAGGTCAGCCCGCGAGACCGGCCCTCCGTCAACTCTGTCCTCAAACGGCCCTTCCTGGAGAAACGCATCAGCAAACACCTGGACTCCCAGGTAACTACTAGGGAATCCAAGAAAGGGACTGGGGGACCGGCCGGTAACCTTTCTATATGTCCCCCCCCCCCCCCCCCCCCCTATATGTGCCCCCCCCCCCCCCTTAGGCTTAGATAATTATAAACAGAGGGGTGACTTTCTGCTTGCAGAAATGAACATTGAAATCGTTTTGGTTGAAACGGTTCAACAAAACTTGCACAACCCAAATGTGCTAACTCCTCACACTGTAGAAGTCTTGTGACTTCTCATCAAGAACAGATATTATTAGCTTATGTGTGAGTGTGTGTTTCTGGTTTTACTTCTGGTCCCCACAAGGATAGTAAAACAAGGAACATTGTGCCAGTCCACTCAAGAAAAAAGGCTATTTTAGGCATAGGGTTTAGGGTTAGGGTTAGAATTAGAGTTAGAATTAGGGTTAGGAGTTAATGGTTTGGGGTTAAGGTTAGGTTTAGGGTTAGGGAAAATAGGATTTTGAATGGGAATCAATTGTTTGGTCCCCACAAGGATAATAAAACCAACATGTACAGTGTGTGTGTGTTATTGTATTATTGTGTTAACTTCAGGATGTCCTGTGCTGTTTCCTCGCTCTGTTCTGGGTGTTTCTAGGTAATTGAGGAGGAGTTCAGCCACACAGTGCTGCACAGAAAGAGAGCTGCAGGCCCACTGCCTAGAGTGCGGGCCATACCAGTACAGATCACCGGTACACACACTTAAGGGACATAAGCGAATAGATTGTATTGCTGTATTTCTGTCTGAGTCCAAACATCCCCTTATCATAATCGTTAGCTTTTCTCAGCATGGTTTCAGCCACACAGTACCCAACAACATAGTTTCCTACTTGCATAGGCTTGGCTCATAGGCTTGGCTTCACAGTTGCTGTGGTGAAATGTTGTCAGTTACACCACCTGGTGGTCAGTGTCATAGCATGCTCTCCAATATCCGATCATCCTCATCAGAATACATTCACTAAAACTCTTGGCATCAAAACCAGTTGCACAGAACTGAACTGTGAGCCCAGTTCAAAGATTCCTGGGCATGAAATGTAAATGACGTCAGCCGTGTCTCTCAATCTAAGAGTACAATCATCCGGTGAATGGCATTAGACTGTTGTCATTCTATTTGGAAGCATGCCAGTGCTGGCACCTGTTTTGTTATGGTACCATTATAGCAACATTGACTTGACTGGGTGTGCCAACTCAAAATCACAATGATGTTTCATCACGATCTGTTAGCTACGTACTGTATTTATCTCCTTTTTCTTCTTTTTTGTAACTTTCCATTTTTTCATCCTCTGTTGGGTCCAGAAATAGTCCCAAAAGCCAGAGTCTCAGAGAGGCCTCCTCCTCGGTCGAAGCCTGGGCCCTCGGTGAAGAAACTGCCCCCCAAACCAGAGTGGAAACCCCCTACCAGAGTCATGCCACAGCACAAAGTAACTCACCTGTCTAAAGCACAACTGTATCAGTTACTCCTACAGTAGCCTACTACTGTATAACAGCTACTACATGAAAGCATGTTCCTTGAACTGTACCACTGAAATTCCATCTTATCTTATTCCATCTAATCTTTTGGGTTTATTTTTTTGTTCCTCAGCCATTTCATCCACGAGCAGCAGAGGTGAGGGTTCCAGTGGCCAGACAATATGGTCAACAGGACCCCAGGTGGGACGGTCAGGCTGAAGTCAACCCTTATGACCACTACCATGCCCAGCTGGACGCCATCCAGAGGAGATACTCTCCTCTACCTCCTCATCCTCCTCTTCCCTCTTGTCATCCTCCAGTGGTTCATGAGAGACCTGTGGAGCGCTATGATGACAGAGAGAATCGCCCAGAACCTTATCAATTGTGAGTGTTCAGTCAAGCATAGCCATAATTATAGAATAATGAAGTGTTCTTCAAGCCTGGTCCTTGCGAGATACAGGGTTTGCAGGCTTTTGTTCATTTGTGTGTGTTCGGCCTTCAGGGTGGCTGCTGCTCGTAATGAATACCTCCAGAGGAGACAGGAGGCCAACCAGTACAAGCTGAGGGCAGAGAAACAGCTGGTGGGTCTCAGGCTGTATTACGCTGAAACAGCCAGCTATTTGCTGGCTTCTGTTAAATACTAGAAAAACTGGATATGCTGCTGATTATTAGTATTTTTATCTGTAAATCTGAACCCTGACCCTTCCCATTTTGACTCCCAGGGCCTGCGGCCCTCCACAGCAGACGCTGAGCGTTACAGACAGCCTGAGCAGGACCAGGGGGTAGGGCGACCTGCACACCCACACACACCTCACGACAGGAGGCAGGATGGGCAGCAGGTAAGACGGAATGGCAGGAGAATGTGCAGAAAAGTGACTTATGTGATTTATTGTTTATTTGTCAAGCATTCAGGTTCATGTGTGTATGTGTAGGAGTATCTACGGAATTTGCAGCACATCAGACAGCAATATTATAATGAGATGAGAGATATCAGAATGAGAGCTGACGCTGAGGTAAAGACGACAACATATTGACATAAAGGTTTCTCTGTCATTCCATATGCCCTACCATTCTTTATCACAACTACGTGCTATCTGCATAACACCACTGCACGTTTCTAATACCATTCTCACTGTACCAAACACAGATTTTGCCAGAATTTAAGTCTATATAATGACATTGATATTAACAGAACAGCCATATCTTTTCAGCCCCAGCCACAAGTGAAACCAGGCACGTACCTGGTAGAGAAGCCCAGACACATAGAGCCACCAACACATAGTGGAGACCAGGACAGAGACAGACCCCAACCTGACCAGGTAAGAACAGGGGCTTATTGCGAACGTTCACATAGAAATCGATTGTGTAAAACAGAAGTCTTGCATAATAAATAAACATTTCAGCTCTATATCTTACATTTCTATCTGCAACATTTAGGACATTGAAGGAGCCCTGAGACAGATCAGGCAGGAGAACAGACTGGAGAGGAGAGAACTACAGAAGAAGCACAAAGCCAAGAAAGCTATCATGTTTGAGATCAAGTTAAATGATGAAAGGATTCAAGAGGATGAAGAGAAAGAAAAAGAGGAGGAGAAGAGGGACGAGGAGAGAACAGTGGAGGACAAAAAGGAAGATGAGCAAGAGGTAAAAAATGACATGTTACCATGTTGCCTGAGTGTGTATGTTCATTTCAATGTGGGGTCTGACTTCACTTTGGACAATGGTGGGGCTCTCAAGCATCTCACTATTTACCCGGTGCGTGTCTGTGGGTGTGTGTGTCTAGGAGGAGGACCCACTGAACCAGACCCTGAGCTTCCAGGCAGGGGAGGAGCTGAGGCACAGGGATTGGTCCAGGGCAGGATTGGGGGCAGGGCAGGATGAAGGCATGCCCAGGTCAGAGGTGAGGAAGGGGTGGGGCCAGGCAGCACCACAGACCCTACTGGACGCCCTGGCTGAGATGGACGTATCATCAATGTGTTCCACTATGGCTGTGCCTGAACTGGGTGAGTGGAAGGGACACAATGGGAGAATCTCAATTGCGAACTCCTCGCAACCTCTCCTCTCTCCTTGCCTCCTTCTCAAAACCCATTGGATGAGAAAACCAGCGGTCCCTTCTCCTCCAATGGGTTTTGAGGCAGCAAGGAGTGAGGATGTGAGGAGTATACAATTGAGATACTCCCACACACACACACCACTGTGATTTAGGCCAGGATTCATTTCGATTCACATTAGATCCGCCTTATAGTGTGATTGACATTTAAAGGTAATATCCGATTGAGCTGACATATACAGCATTTACCATGAATTCAGTCTCCGCGAACACAGGAGCATTGCCTTTAAAAAGTGCATAGCCGAAAAGGGTTGATTAGATTGAATCCCGGCCTTAGGGAGATTCTCATTTGGGAAAAGTCTGTCCTTTCCTCGACTCCTCTGTCCTCTCTCCTTCATGTCCCAGAAACCGGTAAGTGGTCAAGGAGAGTGTCAATTCGTTAGTAGGCGAACCGAGGAGCATGCTTCCCTCTTCAATTACCTACTTCGGCAAAGGATCCACAAGAGTATCCTCCCGGCACCAAGTGCGGACGTGTTTTTTAATCCGCCACACCCCCATTGAATCAGCTGTCGTTTTCTTTCAGGAGAAAAGCTTAAACAAATGTAAAAACAATACGCTACTTATCCTTTAATCTATAAAATGTCTTGGACAACTAACTTCATTTGTTTTTACGACTTACACATTTATTTTGGGATTCCACCCTGTAAATATAATTTGCCTGATAACACGCGAGTGTAGAAGGATAGTCTAATTTCATACAAATGCATTTTCAACCACGTTCCCTCTCCTTGCCGCCACTCCTCGATTACATTCAACCTTTTTCAAAAGGAGGCGAGAGAGGACGCAGGAGTTGAGCAAAACCAATTAAGATTCTCCCTTAGTGTCAGTGTTCTGCAGGGTCAGTGCGGTACTCTCTTCCTTCCCCCAGGTGACGCTGCAGATCTCGAGGGGAAGGCAATAGGGGTGAGGAGACAGTGGGGAGAGGGTCCCCCCAACACCCTGCTCCATGCCCTGGGCCAGGCTGAGCTAACCTCTACAATGGACTCCGTAACGCCAGGTCAAACACCTCTTAGCCTTGAACCCAGGGTTTTAGATTGATAGGGAGAATCTCAATTGCATACTCCTCGTGTCCTCTCTCCTCTCCTCCTTCTCAAAACCCATTGGTGGAGAATGTCACAGGGAAGGGACCTCTGGCTTTGGGTTTTGAGAAGGTGGCGAGAAGAGAAGACGTGAGGAGGATGCAATTGAGATTCTCCCCAGGTCTAGGATTCTCATATAGGAGAGCACAGCAATACGAGACTAGACACCTTTCTCCTTCCCTCTTAGAACCATTGACTGAGAAAGAGGGAGCCGAGGCAGAGGAAAAAGCGGAGGAGGATGAAGACTCGGATGTGGAGATGGACGAAGAGCGTCTAGAGCCTAGGTCGGATGATGACGACACGTGAGTGTGACGCTGGGCTGATACTGACAATGTGCCTGTGATACTAGGCCAAATGTTATAACATTTAATTATTCCTACATTTTTCAATCTTTCCTTCCTCAGGAACTTTGAGGAGTCTGAAGATGAGCTGAGAGAGGAGGTGGCAGAGTCGATGATGAACCTTTTTATAATGGAGGATGGAGAGAGTGTGAAAGAGGAGGGAGGAGAGAAGGTTGTAACAGATGGAGTAGTGGGGGAAATAGAGTTAGACAGTCAGGAACCTGTAGATCTCCAGCAAATACACCCAGTGATAGAGCCCACTGGTGACACCTCCATAGAGGGTAACCCCTCTCAGACTCAAGCCCAAGGTGCAGGGTGTGAAACTCGGGCAGAGAAACCAAGGGATGCCCAGGCCCAGACAGAGGACTGTGAGGCCAATAAGAAGCAACAGCCGGAAAATGAGTGTTCAAATTATTCTTTACTGTGAGATTTAAGTGGAACGATGACAAGGACCTTGGAAATGGTTGCCTTTCTACAAAAGACAGGTTTTGAGTAAGCTATCCTTATAATTTTCAGCAACATAACTTGCATATATTTTTTTCTTGGCTATAAGTAGACGTCACAGGAGGTTGGTGACACCTTAATTGGGGAGGACGGGCTCATGGTAGTGGCTGGAGCAGAATGGTATCAAATACATCAAACACATGGTTTCGCTACGTTCCAGCCATTATTATGAGCCGTCCTCCCCTCAGCAGCCTCCACTGCCAACCTGTGGCAAGAATAGGTATCACTTGGTACAAACTTTAACCTAGTAGACATGTCTTACATTTTTCTAAACTGCAGGTTTAAGTTTGGACCAAGTGCTACCTATTCTTGCCACAGGTTGGCAGTATAACATAAGCAGGCATTGACAAGAAGTCAAGTATTTAGGTGTTGAAAATGTTTCAGTATTGTTGTTACATGGAGCAACTTCTAAAGACTAAAAATAATAAAGTACAACATAAGGTTGAATGTTTTATTCATCAGATATATAGGAACAATACATTTACTTTTCCAAAATAAAGCATTGTTTGTATATTTACGTTTCTGCACATTTAATCAGTAACATTTCTGAGCCATGGTCCCTTACAGAGGGGGAAAAAAAGCACACTGAGAAAAAAAATTGCACAATGATATTTGGTCATTCTTCGCCAGTGAAAACAGTACAGAAACCTAATCGTTCCGGATCAAGTGCTTTTTGAGTGTAAATGTATAAATAGAATGTCCACCACCTCACTTCACTGTAACTCTATCAAGACAGTGCAGATAAGACAAGCATCCTTACTTATTCATATTAATAAAGCCAGCAAAGCTCCGATAGACCATCAGTGTTCCAACATTCAAATTGATACAACATTCTCTGCCAATCAGGCCTGTGAGTGCAGCAGAGCGGAGGGGTTTCAGTCTGAGGGGGGAGTGATTGGTCTTCCCTCATCGCTGCAGTGTTCCAATCAGAGGTTCCATGGAAGACAGGAAGCTAGCATCAAACTCCTGGTTGGAGAAACGGTCTACGGACCGCCGGGCGTTCCGCCGGATCTCCAGCCGTGCCGACGACGACAGGGTCAGGATGGTCTCCATGGCGGTGGCATAGCTGTCCTCGCTGTCAGCCAGGAATCCAGTCTGTCCACCCTCGTAGGGAACCACGATGTCTAGCTTGGGGCCGCCGGACTTGTGAGCCAGGATGACTGTCCCTGCAGCCATACATTCTACGACACCTGAGACAAGAGAAGGCAGAGAAGAGGGGACAGGGATCAGGAGTCTGGAATGTACAATACTTGTCTAAAAAACGGAAGATAATAAGATGGTAGATATAAGATTAATACCTATGCCAAAATGCTCGTTCCACATGGTGTGCAGGCCAATGGTGGCGTCCACCAGCTCCCTCTTTAGCTCCTCAAAGGAAACATTGAGTTTAAACTCCACCCTGTCAGTCACACCCAGCTCCTGGCACAACTCCCTTAGCATCAGCACTCTATCCTCATCCTCCTGGTTACGGCAGCCACCAATCAACACCAGCCTCAGAGACTCCCGCCCTCCCGGGCCCGCCCCTTTCCTCTCCAGAAGCTTCCGGAACGCCCTTATTTGTAGCCGGTGGTCTTTCTCTGGTCGGAACTGACCCACAGACACTATCGAATGGCACTTACTGTCTCCAAACCCCTCCCCTTCCACCTCGTCCTCCAATGGCATGTCAAGGAAGGAACGGACTTCGCAGGGCGGGTAGACCACGCTGGTGCGGCTGGGGGCGCGCCACAGAGCCAGGATGTGGCCCAGCGTCCAGGTAGAGTTGACCATGACGACGTCGCTGCAGGAGCCAGCTAGGCCGTAGATCAGAGCGAAGGCACAGTAGTATATCACCTTAACCGTACTAAGGACAGGGTTAGTAGAGATGTAGTCTGCATTGTTGAACCTGTTGGGATTGTAGGAGGGAGTGGATGATTACAAATACTGCAGAGGAAAATAAGAGGTTTGATAACTAGGCCTATAAAAAAAATACATCAACCACACTATTAAAAAGAGCACATTATCTTCTGTATCACAATAAATAACAATATCAATATTTTACATTTTAGTCATTTAGCAGACGCTCTTATCCAGAGCGACTTACAGGTAGTGAGGGCATACATTATTTTTTATTATTCTTTCATACTGGCCCCCCGTGGGAAACGAACCCACAACCCTGGCGTTGCAAACGCCATGCTCTACCAACTGAGCTACAGCCGGCCATTCCCTCCCCTACCCTGGACGACGCTGGGCCAATTGTGCGCCGCCCCATGGGTCTCCCGGTCGCGGCCGGCTACGACAGAGCCTGGATTCGAACCAGGATCTCTAGTGGCACAGCTACCTTAGACCACTGCGCCACTCTGGATATGCTTTGTAATTAAAATAAACAGTACTGACGTGGGGTTCCTCTCTCTCACTACAGAAAGCATGTCAGTACTGACGGTGGGGTAGTGCACATAGCTGCCCACCCTGCATCCTCCAAAGTAGCGGAAGATAGGCAGAGTGAAGGCATAGCCCATGGAGTCCACATAGAGGTCTGGTACGAAGGACGTGAGGGCCTCCCAGCCCAGAAACATGGAGCCCATGCTCTGCCCCAGCAGGGTGAAGTGGGGGTAGGTGCTACTCTCCACCAGGAGACGGTTCTTCAGGAATATGAAAGTCACTGGACGAGGCAGCCTGATGTTGAAGCGTTGTCGGGCGCCCTCCAGAATCTGTTCCCCCGTCACACCTTGGTCACCGGTGTACACAACGAAAGAGATATTTGGGTATCTACAGGAGGGAAGACACAGAAGAGACACATAACTCAACATATCAGGAGATTAAGTTATGGAAAATACAGGTTATGACGCTCATGAGCACTGAATGCATTGAAATCTAAATATAGGCTCAGACAGTGTAAACCTACCTATTCTGAAGCGCTCTGAGGGCGCACCAGAGCACACGCTCCCCGCCCCCTCCTGCATTGCAGTAGGGGTGGAAAAAGGCCACCGTTGGGGAGCTGTCCTGAGCCAGGCGGGCTTTCCGACTCCTCTGCAGCCACATTCGGACCCCCATGACGAGTAGAAACAGAAGCAGCGTCAGCACCAAGCTCAGATACACGCATGGCAGCACCATGGACCATAGTAATCTGTTTTGAAGACAATAATAATTATACTACTAGCTATAAATCAAATCAAATCAAATTTTATTGGTCACATGCGCCGAATACAACAGGTGCAGACATTACAGTGAAATGCTTACTTACAGCCCTTAACCAACAGTGCATTTATTATAACACCATGGTGGCTTACTGACTGGTTCTCAGTAGCTAGCTAGCTATGAATTTAACTCCAGTATTTGACAATGTCATGTCGATACAAAGAACTCCGATTGTAAAATGTATTTTATTAGTCATAGATATGGCTACTATCTATGACTGTCACTTGTTCTTTCTTCATATAGCCAGTTTCTGTTGTCAAGATAACTACGATCTGCATTTACTACGCCAGGTGTTAGAAACAAAGCAGCATCATTTATTCAATGATTATTACCTGATGAAGTCGCATAAGCACAGAGGCAGATGATGACGATCATGGCCAGACATCTTGACAACACAACACAAACTTTGACACTGGAAGTAGTTGTCGAGCTGGCTGTTGAGGTGCGTGTCTGTGATTGGTCCATATTTCGTTGTTTATATAGGATGTCAGAATTAAACCGATACACTACTTGATGGCTAAAATATGTAGTTGAACACAACTAATTAGTATTCAGAAAATAAAAAATAGTATTTAGAGAGACTTTGTTTTTAATTTGAGGTCAATGGACATTTTAAAGACATAAAAAGTGCCATAAGTGTGGGAATATTCACATACACTTGCTGTGCAAAATACACATTATTCAGACAACTACTCAGACAACTACTCAAGGCTACATAAAGAGAATGACACCAGTACTGGGAATGTTAAAATTTGGCACAAGATTAGTGCTGATGAGTTAGATCTGAGATAGAGGTATTTGGCTATTCAGGCCAAGATACAGTAGCCTCAGTATTAGTTCCTTCATAGTTATGTTTGTTGTTCACTATTGTGAGTTTTGTGGAGAGACTCTCGGTCTGGTTCTTGAAGTTCCAGTGGCAGGCTGGGGTGCAGGCATAGAAGATGAAGGGCAACCTGTGTAGTCCAAAGATGTTGTAACAGGCAGCGGTCTGTGAGAGAAAGGGCCATAGTGGCTGAGTGTTGCGGCTCTTGGGGGGTGTTCCGGCTGCAGCTCTTCCAGAGTCCTGCAGCCAGAGGTGTTTTCTTACATTTCAATAATAACACAAGGTTGGTACTATACAAAGGTGGTGGAATGGATGAGTTACCCCCATACAATGTAAGACCTTGGGAAAAGCTCTATATTATGGTCTTTGCAGCCTTACTGCCTTCTCTGGACTGTACCGGAGTTTTCTGATGCCATTGGTTAGGGATGAGAGGAGGTTGTAGGAGGCATCTAGAAACTGCAGAGAGGGCAGCTGGTACAGCCTGTAGGTAGGACAGACAGCACAGGACTCAGATCTGGGTCACCGACAAAGACTTCTGACAGCAGGGTAGGTTTATAACACTGTATATAACAGGTTCCCAAAACTGTAGTGCCCCGTTGTTGCTCTTACTCAGACCGCAGGGAGGTGTTCTTGCAGAAGGAGATGACAAAGGTCTTGAACCTGTTGAGTCTGTGGATGCCGGTTGGAATCTCCTCTATGGGGCTGTCTCTCATCTTCAGCACCTCCAACTGTGTGAGCTCATACACCTGTTTAAAGAGAGGGGGGAATAAATATTTGGCTATATACATATTTCCCAGAGACATGGGAGTTGTCTTGCCATGGAATTGCAGTGCCATTTTGCGACATGCTTTCAGAAGACCCTTTTCAGATAAATAGGCTCTAAAATAACCCCAGTATATCGGTATGACATGCTTGTGGTTTGTGTCAGTTCATAAGGGATCTCACCACTGGGAAGATAGTGAGGTCATTGAAGGACAGGTTAAGGTAGAGCAGGCTCTGGGCCAGAGGAGTCAGATCAGGAAGCAGGGCGATGAAGTGGGCCTGAGAAAACACACTGTAAATCCCTCAGTAAAGGTTCAGAGAGAAAGAGCTCTAGCTCACATATTCCTCTTCTACTTCCTGCTATGCTATATTTGAGTGACTGTTGTTTTATTTCCTTTTAATGTTAGGTCGAACAAAGGATGGCTGTGTTTCTGTCGCTCTCTCAATTATGCTGCAAAGACTCTGACAACAAAGGCTTTCAATGCATAAGGAATAAATAATAAAATAATATATAAATAATTGGCAAAGGACACACACCCACAGTCAACAACACACAGCACCTTCAAGGTGAATGCCTTGCCCCCTCCATCAGACAGTCGAGTATGGCCAGCTTAGACGGGCTGATGGCCTCTCCAGAGTGCCTGAACAGGGAGTGGGTCCGCCGAGAGCACCGAAAGTGCTTGGTCAGGATCATCTCCGTTCCTGCTCAAAGGAAAGGTGGATTTATTTGCTACAAGAAAAACAGAGCTTGGCTTTGTACAAACAACTCAACAATCAAATCAAATCAAGCTTTATTTATATAGCACATTTCAGACATGGAATGCAACGCAATGTGCTTCACAGGGGGAAAAAAACAATAAAAACTATTAAAATAAAAAGTATACACAAACATAAGACGATAAAAAACAAAAGAATAACAAATCAAAACTGAACGACTAAAAAGCACCCTAAGGAAAAGCAAAGCTAAAAAGGTGTGTTTTAAGAGGGTTGGTTATGTAGTGTTGGTTATGGTATAGTAAGTGAGAAGGCAAACATGTTCTTGCCTGGGTATACGTTTGCCTGCTTCTGAACAGATTATCTTTCCCCTGGTGGTACCCAGATCTCCAGACTTCTGATCAGACCTGCAAGTCCCATCTCCCAGACAGCTCCGCCGACATATCATCTGAGCCTGCAACTCCATACGGATCAATGCTGTCAGCTTTTATCAGATAACACACACACAGCAAATACTAAAACACACACAATACGCATGAAGAAACAGTACACCACTGTAACTTACACAAGCAAGCATCCTTGTCACACAATACTCACTAAATAATACACTAGTACTGGTGCTTAATGAAAACACCACAATCTGGACTCTAGCCTACTACAATGGCAGGTCATCTTTTAACATATTATATACAGTGTGTATCACATTTGATCTGCCTCTGTGGGATCCTGGTCTTGGCCTCTGGCACTTTCTCAGTGGACATCAGCTGCTTGGACACCTCAGCCTGCTGCCCTTTGTGCAGCTCCATTAGGAAGAACCCAACCAGCTTCCTGTAGTTGCAGTGAGACAGAGCCACTTTCTTCAGGCCCTCCAGCGACTGGGGCCCACTGCTGCCATTAGGGTCTCGCAGGAAGTCATTGAAGCTAAAGGTAGGGTGAGAAGGGATGCATCTGGGGTCTGTCTTGAGGCGGTCGAGGAGGGGGATTTTAGGGAGGGTGAATGGGGGTTTACAGGAGAAGCCCTTGATTATTTTAGGCATCAGCATCGATGGGACTGAGGTCAGGGGAGTGGGGGCCACTCTGAAGGCTGCAGGGTCATAATCCCAAAGAGGAAGTGCGTGGCAGCGCGACTCACTCCCCTCTGTGGCACTGTCCTTCAGAGCCTTTCTCTCTGTTGATGGCAATGAGTCTATGATTGTACATGGAGAAAACAAATACAAATGAGATCACAAGCTTCCCATGACACTTTAACAGTTGCATCAAACATAGGCCTAGATTAAGAAGGATACGAATTGTATGCTTCCTGCAGTTCATTTCTGTGCAATGAGACATGCTCAACGAAGATAACGTAACTTAACTTACCTGAAAGTATAGGCGGAAGAAGTGGTTTCACAATGGGGGGAATCTTTTTAGGAGGCACAGGCCTCCGAAGAAGCCTTGCATGTTCTGATGGCATAGTTACTCCACGTTGAAAGCTTTTAATTCCTGGCAAAAGGTAAAGTAGCTAAATTAACTGTAGACATTTACAGTAGCATAAATGCCAAAAACCAATCTACAAATATTTAATTAAGCTGTAAATAGGCACCAATGGTAGCAGTATGGTGGAAATAATATAAAGTAGAGTTAGCTAGCTAGGTAAATTAGAGCCATCACCAGTCTTTATAGGCTACCTATCCAGTCCCATCAGGTGTGTCTGCCCAATATAACCTAAGCTTAATTCCCTGGTTAAACGACCTGTAATCTGTTGTAAGTAGCTAATTAATCAACAGAGGGAGCAAAACTGGCAAGCCTATGTAATATGCTGCGTTTAGATGGTAAGAGGTAGACCGCAAACCGGATGTCATTGTTTCAATGAGCGCACGATTGTAAATGCCGTTGTGCCTGGCGGTGAATGCCGTCAGCCGCCACATTAGACGGGACTTAACGCCAGAGACAGTTCAAATATTTCAACTTTTGCCGTCTGTCGTAGCGTTGTTTTCTAACGGATGTTGATTTGCTGTGTTTGTTTACTGAAATCACCATAGCAAACCATATCGTTGTGCTGGCTTCCTTTTACGGTCACCCTCTTTCTTGCTTTCTTGTCCCGCTATACCAACTCTATAACGGTTTTTGCGTCCCTCGTCTAAACGTATCATTAGTTGTTGACACACAGGAAACAGATAACTTAGCTAGCTATCTAAGCTAAACAACTAGTCATAGAATAACAGCAACCAATGAATCTACCAAATAATGACATTTGAAACACGTTCAAAATAAACATCACATTCGAAATTTCACATTTAGTTAGCTAGTTTACATCATATTGTCACTTTTTGGGGGCAAATTTACCGCTGAGATTTCCTTGGCTGATATGTTTCCCCGGTTCAACAGAGTCCTTGGCAACCGCCATAGCAACCGTCAATCAGATCAAAGAATCTGAGTCAACCAGGTTCAAAGGTGCATAAAGGTCTACTACCACGCTAGAGTATGTCAATGCAAATATGGCAGAAAAGGTATGTATCAAATAAAATAAAATACAATTGTATTGGTCAGATACGGGTGTTTAGCAGATGTTATTGCAGGTGTAGCGAAGTGCTTGTGTTTCTAGCTCTGACAGCGCAGTAATATCTAACAAGTAATATCTAACAATTTCACAACATATACCCAATACACACAAATCTAAGTAAATTAAGAATATATAAATATATGGACGAGCAATGTCAGAGCGGCATAGACTAAGATACAGTAGAATAGTATAGAATACAGTATATACATATGAGATGAGTAATGCAAGATATGTAAACATTGTTAAAGTGACTAGTATTGCATTTATTAAAGTGGCCAGTGACTTCTAATCTATGTATATAGGCAGCAGCCTCTAATGTGCTAGTGAAGGCTATTTAACAGTCTGATGGACTTGAGATAGAAGCTGTTTTTCAGTCTCTCGGTCCCAGCTTTGATGCACCTGTACTGACCTCGCCTTCTGGATGATAGCGGGGTGAACAGGCAGTGGCTCGGGTGGTTGTTGTCCTTCATTATCTTTTTGACCTTCCTGTGACATCGGGTGCTGTATGTGTCCTGGAGGGCTGGTAGTTTGATGCGCTGGGCAGACCGCACCACCCTCTGGAGAGCCCTGCGGTTGCAGGCGGTGCAGTTGCCAGACCAGGCGGTGATACAGCCCAACAAGAAGCTCTCAATTGTGCATCTGTAAAAGTTTGTGAGGGTTTTAGGTGCCAAGCCAATTACTATGCTAAGTGTGAAAAATAAGTGTTTTTCAAGTAAAACAGTTTACTATCTCCTCATAGACTAGACTAGAACAATAAATGTAGGCCTATATACAGTCATTCATTGGGATAAACAGTATTGTTGAGAATGCCTGGCCTGGGATCGGTCCAGACATGAGTCTGTGTATTACTGCAGCGGTGAAATGTTGACAGACTAACCAATGACAACTGAGACACTTTCAATATGGCTAAGGAGGATGATGTCAAACTCAATTGCAATAACTGCTGTTGAACTTTGCCTGAAATTCCCTCTGAAGATGTATGAAGATAATATTTCATCTAACTTAATTTTATAGGTTGTCACTAAAGTCAACATAAAATACATCACAAAACTGAATAGAACATGCACAAACCTACACAAACACAAAACTGAGTAAAATATTATTGCCAGACTGATCCACCTTGATAGCCCTGTGGCAGGCAGCAGATTGCCATATAAAGACATTCCTCTTAGTGAAGTTGAAGTTGTTGTGGGTCGCGTGTCACTTCCTTCCTCGTTTATTTGAATAGATGAATTGTCGCATGACTTCTGAGGGAGAGACAGTGCACTGCCTGCCTGTCAAGCAGTGAGAGCAGCAGACACACTGAAGGAAGGAAAGTGAGTCAGAGACAGAGACAGAGACAGACAGACCACACAGACAGACTCACAGACAGATCCGCCAGTCAACTCACCTCCCTCAGGTAATTCAATCTTCTGACCTAGGGGCCTCTCAGTGTCAGTGTGTCCCTCTGCATGTGTCTTTATTACGTTGAATCTACTGGGAAAATGGTCTGTGACTGTGTGTTGATGCTGATGAGGATGAATGATGATGATGCATTTCTGTTGCTTTAACAGTCTATAAGGGTTCACAGATGGTCCTGTGTGTGTTAATAGATAGTGTCGTCCTGGAATCTTAGGGCAGCATGTGTAGTAGACATGCTGCTCAATGCGCAGCATTGCCATGTCTTGACTGTAGAGTTTCAGAATCAGCAGAATATGGGGGCAGAGAGCAGAAGTAAACCATTGCACCGTTGTTAAACAGGAAGTTAGTTGGGTTGTGGTTAGCCTTGCTGCAACTGCTGAAAAGTATTCTAACGTGAAAGCTAACAGTAACTCAGATAGAAATGTACATTTTCTAAAAGTTTCCAACATATCTTCACTATTCACCGAATAACATGTGCATCAGCATGTGGAATTGACTGGCACATGCAGATTTGTAATCTCTTAATTTGGAAATTATGAACAATATAGAATAGATATTTTGTCTTTTAATAGTGGTTGAAGAATCAATAACAAACTACACTTAAAGGAATGTGCCTTTGCATACAAAACAATTGAGAGAAACCGAGGAAGCACAATTGATTGCTGTATAAAGATTACTTTGAGTGACAGACAGATTGGCTTTAATAAATGTCCACATCATAATATTGTTCCAATAAACCTCTCTTCCTACATATAATCCATGCAAATGTACCTTACTGTTTGATTATTTTCTTAGTACATAATGAATAAGCTGTCTGTTTAAAAGAGAACAAGATTTGCATGTGAAATCTGCAGTACCATGACTGATGTTTGTGGGTATTGCAGTTTTATTTCCATAAAGGCCCTTGATGATTTTAGTGGCTGAGTCCACAGGTAATCCTTGATGACAGATGAGGGTTTTAGGGATTTCAAATCAAGGAACTGGATTTGCCTCATGAAAGATAACGCCCCTCATGATCAAAATGCAAAGACACATTTTACTTCATCATCAAAATGTAAAGAGGGTAAATGTCGGCCCTAAAAAGGCAATAATATCCTGTTTTTAGATTAGTGAACATCACACTGTCATTGTGTCATCCAGTGTGTGGTTTATTTAATCATCAGAGAGTGTCTCGCTGCTGATTGAAATGAAATGCTTGCAAAGTGACAGAGCTGGTCATTTTGAAACATGGTGTGAAAATATATCAGTTTCACTTCTGCTTCTGACCTCTATAGCTATGGTGGAAGAAAGGGAACAAAATCTCCTTGTTCTTCCTTATTTGAGCATTCAGAAGTGTGCTACTGGGCCTCCTGTGTGGCGCAGCGGTCTAAGGCACTGCATCACAGTGCTAGAGGCTTCACTACAGACCCGGGTACGATCCTGTGCTGTATCACAACCAGCCGTGATCTGGAGTCCCATAGGGCGGCGCACAATTGGCCCAGTGTCGTCCGGGTTAGGGGAGGGTTTACTTGGCTCATCGTGCTCTTGTGGCAGGCCAGGCGCCTGCAGGCTGACCTCGGTCGTCGGTTGAACGGTGTTTCCTCCGACACATTGGTGCGGCTGGCTTCCGGGTTAAGCAGGCGGGTGTTAAGAAGCGCGGTTTAGTGGGTCATGTTTCGGAGGACGCATGACTCGAGCTTCGCCTCCCGAGCCCGTTGGGAAGTTGCAGCGATGAGACAAGATCGAAAATTGGTGAGAAAAAAGGGGTAAAATACATACTAAAATAAAAATAAGTGTGCTACTACAGTACATACATGGTTGAATTAGACTAATAATGTTCTCTAGACCTTTCTCCATACTATAGGTTTAGAAAACCATAGATGCCATTTCTAGGAGCCAATCAGGTTTGTTCTGATGAGGTGGGTGACAATGGAAAGAGAGACATTTGTTACTCATCTCTAAACTTCACACCTCGGAGGCAAGCAGAGCAGAGCAAAGTGGGTCTCTGTATCTAACGTGACCTTTTATCTCTGTGGTTTACAGCCGTAGAGGTCTCAATGAAGCCACACAGTGAAATGGCAGCCATTCTTCCTGTCTGTTATCAATATAGCAACCTCTATTCCACTCTCGACTCAGACTGAGGCCTTAGGCCTGGAATGTATACTTAGTCCTAAGGCAGATGAGGAAGAATTCAGAGGAGTTTCAGATAAACACATCCGCACGCAAACTTTGAGTTGCTCTGGCTCACCACACAGAATGTCACAAGACAAACTTATCTGAATTGCATAATATATTATTCTCCCTATTTCACACAAGTCTTAAGCCATATCCTCATGACGACTTTGTTGTCGTGTATACTTGGAAACGCTAGTTATGTGATAATGACTTGCAGTTGCAAAGGGGTGTAATAAAGACACATGAATGGTGCGAATTACCTCATCAGAAAAAGTATGAAGTAGCTCACTAGAAGCAGGATACTTTAGAATGAAATAGACATCAGAGCCCAGAACCACTGGGTACAGCATTTATTTTGTTGCAATTATCACAGTGACAACATGCAGAAATATAATACTTTTTCCAGTTCCTCCTTGTTGAGTATGTTCAGTATTGTATGACTTTGTAAAGAAAGTTGAAGTTGAAGTTGTGTTTGATGGTTTCAGATCCCACAAAATGGCTGCTCCAGCACAGATTTCTCAGGATGAGTTGGAAGAACTGAGAGAAGCCTTTGCTAAGATCGGTGAGAGCCTGACAGGGAGCCTGAACAATCTCCAATCCTGATTCCCCTATACTAAGACAGAAACTGAAACATAGTTGATACATTATATACTCACTTCACTCTCTCTCTTTTATCCTGGGTCACTGACTCATTATGCATTCAACAAGGCTACATTTTACATGACCTTTTGACTTATCCATCCTGTTCCAGATGTCGACTCTCATGGCCACATTGGCACAGAAGAGCTCAATGACCTGTTCAAAGCTGCCAACCTGCCGTTGCCAGGATACAGAGTCAGAGAGATCATCCAGGATCTCACCAAGACAGGAGACCTGCATGACGGCAAAGTCACCTTCGATGAGTTTGCCAATGTAAGTTCAGAGGTCACGAGGTTAAAGTCAATGTCATTTACAAAAAGTAAATGTCAAAGAAGAGCAGAACTTAGCTTGATACATCTTGACATGACACCAGAGAAACATGGTATCATCTCACCACCATGTTTCCTTCCACTAAGGTGGTCCATGGACTGAAGAGTACAGAGGTGGCTAAGACCTTCAAGAAAGCCATCAACAAGAAGGAGGGCATCTATGCCGTAGCAGGAACCTCAGAGCAGTCCAGCTCAGGCACACAGCACTCCTACTCAGGTGACTGCCCCTACTTGTTTCACTGGCTGAGAATTCCCCCAAGCTATCTATTTGAGTCACTCTCTAGATAAATCTGTAGCCAACATGACACAGGAAGCACTAATTATTCAAATGAGACATACAGAACCACATCTACATCTATGTCTGGAACAATCCATAAGTACAACAACACTTCCTGGTCCGTGAAGTCACATATCTGAAGGCCTCTGATTGGCTAATGTATATAAATATTTCCCCATAAATACAAATACTCCTACATGTATATTGTGCATTCACCCCCATACCCCCACCTTTCTCCACTGACAGAGGAGGAGAAGGTTGCTTTTGTGAACTGGGTGAATAAGGCCTTGGAGAAAGACCCAGATTGCAAGCATGTTCTCCCCATGGACCCCACCACCAACGACCTGTTCACCGCTGTCGGAGATGGGATCGTTTTATGGTACTTTCTAACTGGTCTCATAGACTTACTTTAGAGTAAAAACCAATCCCTATGGCAATATTCCATTGATATCTAACTATGTATCTCTCCTTCACCTGGTAGTAAGATGATCAACCAGTCTGTTCCGGACACCATCGATGAAAGAACCATCAACAAGAAGAAGCTCACACCCTTCACCATCCAGGTAACCTTTTATAGCCATTACTGTAACACCACATGACTATCAGAGGACAGCAGCTTTTTATAACCCATTGACACAGTAGTTTATTTTCTTTGTCATTAAACAGTTGAAGTCAGAAGTTTACATACACCTTAGCCAAATACATTTAAACTCAGTTTTTCACAATTCCTCACATTTAATCCTAGTAAAAATTCCCTGTCTTAGGTCAGTTAGGATCCCCACTTTATTTTGAGAATGTGAAATGTCAGAATAATAGTAGAGAGAATGATTTATTTCAGCTTTTATTTCTTTCATCACATTCCCAGTGGGTCAGAAGTTTACATACACTCAATTAGTATTTGGTAGCATTGCCTTTAAATTGTTTAACTTGGCTCAAACGTTTTGGGTAGCCTTCCACAAGCTTCCCACAATAAGTTGGGTGAATGTTGGCCCATTCCTCCTGACAGAGCTGGTGTAACTGAGTCAGGTTTGTAGGCCTCCTTGCGCGTACACGCTATTTCAGTTCTGCCCACAAATGTTCTATAGGATTGAGGTCAGGGCTTTGTGATGGCCACTCCAATACCTTGACTTTGTTGTCCTTAAGCCATTTTGCCACAACTTTGGAAGTATGCTTAGGGTCATTGTCCATTCGGAAGACCCATTTGAGACCAAGCTTTAACTTCCTGACTGATGTCTTGAGATGTTGCTTCAATATATCCACATAATTTTCCTCCTCATGATGCCATCTATTTTGTGAAGTGCACCAGTCCCTCCTGCAGCAAAGCACCCCCACAGCATGATGCTGCCACCCCCGTGCTTCACGGTTGGGATGGTGTTCTTCGGCTTGCATAATTTGGTGTTCCTCCAAACATAACGATGGTCATTATGGGCAAACAGTTCTATTTTTGTTTCATCAGACCAGAGGACATTTCTCCAAAAAGTACAATCTTTGTCCCCATGTGCAGTTGCAAACCGTAGTCTGGCTTTTTTATGGCGGTTTTGGAGCAGTGGCTTCTTCCTTGCTGAGCGGCCTTTCAGGTTATGTCGATATAGGACTCGTTTTACTGTGGCTATATATACTTTTGTACCCGTTTCCTCCTGGATCTTCACAAGGTCCTTTGCTGTTGTTCTGGGATTGATTTGCACTTTTCGCACCAAAGTACGTTTATCTCTAGGAGACAGAACGCGTCTCCTTCCTGAGCGGTATGACGGCTGCGTGGTCCCATGGTGTTTATACTTGCGTACTATTGTTTGTACAGATGAACGCGGTACCTTCAGGCTTTTGGAAATTGCTCCCAAGGATGAACCAGACTTGTGGAGGTCTACAATGTTTTTTCTGAGGTCTTGCCTGATTTCTTTTGATTTTCCCATGATGTCAAGCAAAGAGGCACTGAGTTTGAAGGTAGGCCTTGAAATACATCCACAGGTACACCTCCAATTGACTCAAATGATGTCAATTAGCCTATCAGAAGCATATAAAGCCATGACATCATTTTCTGGAATTTTCCAAGCTGTTTAAAGGCACCTTCAACTTAGTGTATGTAATCTTCTGACCCACTGGAATTTTGATACAGTGAATTATAAGTGAAATAATCTGTCTGTAAACAATTGTTGGAAAAATTACTTGTGTCATGCACAAAGTAGATGTCCTAACCGACTTGCCAAAACTATAGTTTGTTAACAAGACATTTGTGGAGTGGTTGGAAAAACGAGTTTTAATGACTCCAACCTAAGTGTATGTACACTTCCGACTTCAACTGTATACACTATGTCATACACATCTACAGTATGCTGTGTGTGTGCTGTGCTCTAACAGGAGAACCTGAACCTGGCTCTGAACTCTGCGTCGGCCATCGGCTGCCACGTGGTGAACATCGGAGCAGAGGACCTGAAGGAAGGCAGGCAGCATCTAGTCCTGGGCCTGCTCTGGCAGGTCATCAAGATTGGCTTGTTTGCTGACATCGAGATCAGCAGGAACGAAGGTGTGTGTGTGTGTGTTACATTTTTATTTGAATATGGGCTTTCAATATGCATGTGTGTTTTATAACTTTTTAACACGAGTTTGTCTATATATCGACAGTACATCACTTGATCTCTGTAGCCTTGTTTGTATTTACGTGTGTGTATAATTATATCAATGGTGTGTGTGTGCAGCTCTGATAGCCCTGCTGAGGGATGGGGAGAGCCTGGAGGACCTGATGAAGCTGTCCCCAGAGGAGCTGCTGCTGCGCTGGGCCAACTATCACCTGGAGGAGGCCGGCTGCTCCAAGATCAACAACTTCAGCTCTGACATCAAGGTGGGTCACACACACTATGTCGGATCTGGATTGTCATATGACTATGTCGCTCCTGGATCTTCTTGTGCATTTGTGATTGTATTAATTTTCTGTTTTGCATTACAGGATTCCAAGGCCTACTACAACATCCTGAACCAAGTGGCCCCTAAGGGAGATGAGGAGGGAATTCCTCCTATTGCCATCGACATTTCAGGGATAAGGGTACATGCTCCTCCTACACTAGAAACATCAACCATTGAAGGTGTAATATGCAGAAATCACTCCGCCATTTCCTGGTTGCTAAAATTCGAATAGTTCACCACATTTATGTGACAAAACAAGCAATGCAGAGAATCATTGTACCATCTAAACCGCTGTGAAATATATTTTCAATAACAAAAAAAGATTGTATTTTCAGCTGTTTGAAGCTGGTGTACAAAACTGAAAGTAAAAGCAGAAACGAAACTTAAGAACGGGAACCATAGAAATAGTGCACATAGAACAGATCTACCCCTTCTTAGACTTGCTTTCAATGAGAATGATAGATCTATTACTCACATTTTTATGTGAATTTGGTCAGGTCGCCCAAAAAGTGACATATTGCAGCTTTAAATGTATATTTCATCCAACCTGATCAACAGATATATTATCAATGAGTGATACATCAGATGTTGCTGTTAAAGCTCCCCCTACCACCCCCTGCAGGAGAAAGACGACATAAAGAGAGCAGAGTGCATGTTGGAGCAGGCTGACCGTCTCGGCTGCCGGCAGTTCGTTACAGCAACCGACGTGGTCCGCGGCAACCCCAAGCTGAACTTGGCATACATTGCCAACCTGTTCAACAAGTACCCTGCCCTGAAGAAGCCTGAGAACCAGGACATCGACTGGAGCTCCATCGAGGGTCAGTGTTTGGACCATCCCAGACCATAACCCAGTTCCTGAGCATCCCCTCTTCCTGATTATAATATAAACCATATATACACAAGGCCTAAACCAGTGTGTAATGTTATCTCTGCCACTTCCAGGTGAAACCAGAGAGGAGCGCACCTTCAGGAACTGGATGAACTCACTGGGGGTCAACCCTCGTGTCAACCACCTCTATGTGTAAGTACAGGTCACTCCATCTTATTACACACCATTTCCAATCATTTGGAAACCGCACTCATTTGACATGTGTGTGCATGTTTTACAGGGACATAGATGATGCTTTGGTCATCTTCCAGCTCTACGAGAAGATCAATGTGCCAGTGGATTGGGACCGAGTAAACAAACCCCCTTACTCCAAACTGGGCAGCAACATGAAGAAGGTGAGACTAGGAACAATATGTTCTCCCACTGTGCGATCATGATTTAACCGATCAATTGTACTTTTTTTTTTAAACAATACAAAACATACACATATAAACGACAGCATACAGACGTACACAAATATCAACGACATCACACCTACCCAGACCCACCTGCTCACACCCCCATCTCCGGCACCCACATCACTCTCCGCCACATGGCCTCAAACTGCACCATTTTGTTTTTCTCCATCGCCCACGCACTTTCAACATTTAGATAATAAAGCATTTGACCTTGGATTGGTTGATTTCCTGTTTTTAAGTATACCGTTTTTCAAGATGATTGACGAGAAAAGTATCGTCCAACCCATCGGGTATGTCACTACACTTTCATATGCCATGTCTTGAAATATGCAGACAGATTAAAAGCACATTTACATTGTAATACTTATGACAGCCAACTTTCTAACTCCGCCGATAACCTTTTGACTTTATAGCATTCCCAGAAGGCATTGATTATTCAGTTATTGTTAGTTTTACACTTTATACATGACTCTGTCGTTGTGCTGTAGAATTTGTGAATTATGTATCTTGTATAATAAATTCTATACATTAGTTTATACTGGATTAAGCTTAAATTTTCTTTACCTCCATCTTGTGCCAATATCAGTACTTTTTAAGTCTTGGTTCCAATAGTTTAAGATGTTGTCAGTTGGATAGGCTCTCTGCAAGGTTTTGTATATCTTACCTATCATATGAATATAATTTTCTGACTCAAATAGGATTCCCTCAAGATTGCTCTGATGTCCAAAAGATTTCAAATCGAAATTTCGCAAAATGAAACTTTTAAGTTGCATGTATTTGAAAATGTCTACATTGGTCAGTCCAAAATTGCCTTTTAATTCTGTCATGGAAATAAATGTGTTTCCTATTACCAAGTCATTTATGGTTTCTATGCCTTTAGTTTTCCATGTGGACCAATTTATCAGTGCATTTTGAAAAGTTATCCAAGGATTGTGATTTTATGGAGTGATATTGGTTCTTGTAGAATACGTTTCATTTTCTTCCATATTGTTATAGTGTTCTTAGCTATGAAGATGTTAATGTTCTTAGCTTTATTCTTTGAAAATAGACACGTAAAAAGATTCTGGTTTAAGCATGCACATCTTCAATATGTACCCATTGTTCCTCTTTAGTGCATTTAACTACACTGAGTATAAAAAACATTAAGAACACCTGCTCTTTCCATGACATAGACTGACCAGGTGAATCCAGGTAAAAGCTATTACATTTACGTCATTTAGCAGACGCTCTTATCCAGAGCGACTTACAGGAGCAATTAGGGTTAAGTGCCTTGCTCAAGGGCACATCGACAGATTTTTCACCTAGTTGGCTCGGGGATTAGAACCAGCGACCTTTCGGTTACTGGCACAACGCTCTTAACCACTAAGCTACCTGCCTTATTGAGGTCACTTGTTAAATTCACTTCAATCAGTGTAGATGAAGGGGAGGAGACAGGTTAAATAAGGATTTTTAAGCCTTGAGACAATGGATTGTGTATGTGTGCCATTCAGAGGGTAAATGGGAAAGACAAAAGATATTAGTGCCTTTGAACGTGGTATGGTAGTATGTGCCAGGCGCACTGGTTTGTGTAAAGAACTGCAACGCTGCTGGGTTTTTCATGCTCAACAGTTTCCTGTGTGTATCAAGAATGGTCCATCACCCAAAGGACATCCAGCCAACTTGACAAAACTGTGGGAAACATTGGAGTCAACATGGGCCAGCATCCCTGTGGAATGCTTTCGACACCTTGTAGAGTCCATGCCCAGGCGAATTGAGACTGTTCTGAGGACAAAAGGGGGGGTTCAACTCAATATTAGGAAGGTGTATATATCGCAAGTAAAAGCCTTGGTTGGCAGGTTGATACAATTCCAAGTCTGGAAAGTTAAAAGCACCCTCTGACTAAGGAAGATGTAAAACTTCTATGAGTTTTATTCGTTCTGCAAGCGGTTCAATTGCCAGTGCAAACAGGAGGGAGGAGAGAGGACATCCTGTCTTGTGCATCTTTCTAAAGCAATTTCAGCAATTAATGTATTATTTGTGTATATTTTTGCATTAGGACATTTATATAATATTTTTATTACATGTATTATTTCTGCTGCAAAGTTGAATGCTTCCAAAGTTTTTAATAGAAAAGTCCATTCAAGACGGGTCGAAAAGCCTTTCCAGCATCAACAGCCATTATTGATAAATCTATATATTGTTTTTTAGTGTATTGTATTAAACTGAAACATGTTCTTGTATTTGTTTGTAAGTGTCTATTTTTAATAAACCATGTTTGATTGATATGTATCAAGTCTGGTAAGACTTTTGCCATACTATTGCTTATGAGCGTTATTATTATTATTTTATTGTCACAATTTATTAAACTTATGGGTCTGTAATCAGCAGTGGACTCTCCAGATTCTCCTGGTTTTAATATAACTGAAAAAACTGTTTGATACATGGAACTAAGAAGCACTGAATTGAGTGACGTGTGTTGTCATTTGTGTATATAGGGGGGCTACTTTGTCCCAAAATGTTAAATACAATTATTTGGGAAAGCCGTCCATTCCTGGTGCTTTGCTCCACGTGAACGTTTTAACAGTATCTAATATTTATTTTTGGGTGATCTCTGTTTTTAGTGAAAAAATTTTGTCTGCTGATAATTGCTTCAGGGTTGTTGAGTCTAAAAAGGCTGTAGGATCGGTCCAACTGTTGTTTATTTCTGATTTATATAGATTTTCATAAAGCTTTTCAATTGATTGACTGATTACTGATTGATTGATTATGTGTTTGTCTGTGCTAGTTGGAGAACTGTAACTATGCAGTGGAGCTGGGGAAGAAGGAGGCCAAGTTCTCCCTGGTGGGCATCGCTGGACAGGACCTGAATGAGGGCAACAGAAAACTCACCCAGGCCCTACTGTGGCAGCTGATGAGGAGGTAATGCAACAGAATAGTGTTAAAATGCTTCAGATTATACATTTTTCCTGTTCCGGTCATGTGATCAGGAAAAACTCCTATGCAGGCCCAATGCATACTCCATAATTCCACATTTAGAAGGATCCATCTCTTTCTCTCAGGTACACACTGAACATTCTGGAGGAGCTTGGGGATGGGCAGAAGGTGAATGACGACACCATCGTCACCTGGGTCAACGACACACTCACACAGGCTGGCAAAGGCACCATCTCTGGATTCAAGGTAGGCTGTACCTCTGCTGTTTAACCTTTTCCTGACCATGGTAACTTTTTTGAAGTTCTAGACTTCATTTAGTCACTAAAATACAAATACAGCACCCTCCACAGCAATAGTTCAGTGTGTGTGTCTGTGCCTCTGTAGGATGGGTCCATTGCCACCAGTATGCCAGTCCTGGACCTGATTGATGCCATCCAGCTAGGCTCTATCCGCTATGACCTAATCAAGGTGGAGGACCTAACTGAGGAGGAGAAGCTCAATAACGCAAAGTACGTACCACGTGATGATAATCAAATTTGAGTACTAGCTTAATGAAAGAGAGGAAACGTTCAAGCTAACAGATAAGATGTAAAGATTGCCCCACTAACATATCCCCTCTGAATCCTACCTGTTGTCAGGTATGCCATCTCCATGGCCAGGAAGATCGGAGCGCGGGTGTACGCCCTGCCTGAGGACCTGGTGGAGGTAAAACCTAAGATGGTGATGACGGTGTTCGCCTGCCTGATGGCCCGGGGCATGAAGAAGGTGTAGGGGTCACGACCCCACAGAACAAATCACCTGAAGTTGTTATCAGCACAACAACCAGAATCAGGGAAAAGAGGATACTAGCTCACTAAGTGAAGACAATTTCAATGATATAGCTAGTATGTCAGGAAATCAGGGATTCAAAACTCAGGCCTGATATAGCGAAGAGCAGATAACAAATTATAATACTGTAACTGGAGTTATACTAGAAATATACCACAAATATCAGAAAGTTGAGCATCTTATTTTGATACGAGATTTAGCTCTTTCTAACTTTACTTTTTACTTCTTTAATTGATGCTATTAATGATGTGGTTTTCAATTTTAAATCAAGATCATTTTGCTTTCGAACTGAAAATAAAGATGTCAGGGAAACTGATTTTTGTTGTATTAAAATAATTTTAAAAGAATGTTGTGTCTTGGTTCTGTTCACACGTACTGTAATACACATACACTACATCTGTAGAGTATGAGCAGTCTACTTACAAATAGTTGTTCTGCATTAAGAACCTACTCATGTGATAAACCATCTAGTTCACGGAAAAACAGAGAACTCATTCAAAATAAACCCGCCAATCCTATATTCGCATGTACAGTATGACTCTGTAGAAAATACAAGCCAAAAACCCAGATAGTTCATCACATACCCATTTAATGAAACAAAACCGACAAGCTTCAACCTCTGAAGGAGGGGGAAAAAACACTGTTTCAAAATATGTCCATCTTTGTCCAGAAAAGAGGGGAAAAACAGTAACCGAGTTCAAACCTGACTCCAGGTGGGTACTGGTGAGATCGTGAGGATTGTCTGGGTGGTTATACAGCCTTGGTCAGTATCTCTTGGTTGGGGCGCTATTTAGCGGATTGTGCCTCTGTGGGCTTACTCCCCAGGGGGTGTTATTTGGCAGGTCAGGCTACTGCCACGTTCTATATGTACTGTTATTTGGCAGATTTGGTCTCAGGGGGGGTTTCTCCTGTATCTAGGGTCTTGAGGAGGCGGAAGAGGCCAGCTGCCTCCCGTATGCGGCTGAACTCAATGCAGAAGGCCTGCACCTCGATGAACAGGTCCTGCACGTTGATGATCTTGTTCCGGATCAGAGACTGCAGGAACACACACACCAGGCGCACCAGGCGGTTCTGCCAATGGAAACAGACACACATCTGGAACACTGGCTAAACACAGTGGCGCATTGACTAACATTAGTAGTGAACAGTCATCTTGAACGGGGACAACCCACAAATTAACTTCCAGTTACAATCTTCTGAGAAAGGAAGTGGCATGCATCCTCTGGTAAGACAAGCATTTTAATGTGACTGACAGGTCAAACAGTTAGCTACAGGCTCCTGTCATGGCCTTTCCTCCTCCTTACCTGCATGTACTTGTCTTTGATCTGTTCACATGTGGAGATACAGTTGGAGATGTACAGGTGAATGAACTCTGGTGGGAGGTCCACAGCAGTTGTCAGCCTGTGCACACAAAAAATTACCTCACATAAATACACAGACAAATAAACATATTTTAAAACTATACCTATATTGAAAACTGAATTCTATCCAAAGTCCCCACCTGTTGACCACCTCCATGGAGTGCAGGGACATGTCCATGTTGACCAGGACGGAGAAGTACTCAGTGATCTGGCTGGACTGCATCAGTTTGAGCAGCATCTCGATGGCCACCAGAGGGTTGTTCTCCACCAGGTCAGGCAGTTTGGCCGGGGTCAGACCGATGTGGTACACCAGCTTAGGATCCTTTTCCAGCTCACCCAGGAGCTGTAGGGAGAGAGGCAGCAATATTAAGAGAGATATTCAGGTTGAATTCACGAGCGAAGGTTAAGGATTTTTGAAATATTGAAAATACAGTTTTGAGTAGACAGTGTACCTGTCTACTCACCTGTGACTGCTGCTGGGCAGACAGTGGGCTCTTGAAGGCCTTGGCCATGATACGTTTGATCTCCACGCCTGTGCTGTTCTTCACACACATAGAGCGGTCCCACTGCACACTGTGGTCTGGCTCCGTGGGGTTCAGCCACGCCAGCTCGTCCTCACACACGTGCAGCGGAGGGGGCGGCCGGATGAACTCTGGACGGAAGTGACCTGGGGAGAGGGAGGGTCACAGGTAGCTGTTACAGACTGGGTATGTGGCTTACGTGATACTTGGGATATCCTATATACACTCAGTGGCCAGTTTATTAGGTACACCACCCAGTTCACAAAAATGGTTCGCTCCTACAGACAGTGAGTCACATGGCCATGGCTTGCAATATAAAGCAGGCAAACAGACACCGAGGCATTTAGCTACTGTTTGATTGAACATTAGAATGTGCAAAACGAGTGCCCTAAGCGACTTTGAGAGTGGTTTGATCGTTGGTGACTCCTTGCTGTCCCCAGTCCGCCTGGCCTTGCTGCTATTCCAGTTTCAACTGTTCTGCCTGCGGTTATGGAACCCCTACCTGTCCCAGACCTGCTGTTTTCAACTCTTAATGATCGGCTATGAAAAGCCAACTGAGATTTATTCCTGATTATTATTTGACCATGCTTGTCACTTATGAACATTTTTGAACATCTTGGCATGGTTCTGTTATAATCTTCACCCGGCACAGCCAGAAGAGGACTGGCCACCCCTCATAGCCTGGTTCCTCTCTAGGTTTCTTCCTAGGTTTTCGCCTTTCTAGGGAGTTTTTCCTAGCCACCGTGCTTCTACACCTGCATTACTAGCTGTTTGGGGTTTTAGGCTGGGTTTCTGTACAGCACTTCGAGATATTAGCTGATGTAAGAAGGGCTATATAAAATAAAATTGATTGATTGATTGATTGGTGCCAGGCGCGCCGGTTCCAGTATCTCAGAAACGGCCGGCCTCCTGGGCTTTTCACGCACGACAGTGTCTAGGGATTACAGAGAATGGTGCGACAAACAATAAACATCCAGTCAGCGGCAGTCCTGTGGGCGAAAAGAGCTAATTGATGAGAATGGCAAGAATCGTGCAAGCTAACAGGCGGGCCACAAACAGGCACATAACAGCGCAGTACAACAGTGGTGTGCAGAACGGCATCTCGGAACGCACAACTCATCGGTTATTTTCACAGATGGGCCATCCTGCCTGGTGTCAACAGTACAGGCTGGTGGCAGTGGTGTAATGGTGTGGGGAATGTTTTCCTGGCACACGTTAGGTCTGTTGATACCAATTTAGCAACGTTTTAACGTCACACCTTGTAGAATCCATAACCCAAAGAATTCCGGCTGTTCTGGAGGCAAAGGGGCAGTCGACCTGGTACTAGATGGGTGTACCTTATAAATTGGCCACAGTGTACTTCACTGTATCATTCCTGTATCATTACAATACCAAGCTAATGAAAATACAAAATATGTTTTTGTGTACATTAACATAGACATACTCCTAATTTATGTCCTCCATAAACATAACAGATAGACTCATAACATCGTGATTGATTAAATGCTCCACTTACTCTCCAGTGCAGGTCGAGGCCCAGTGACCAGGGACTCTGTGATCTGATTGGCCACTGAGCTGTCAAACCCAGAGTTGGAGGAATCTGGGTCCGGGTCGCTGAGGATGCTGGGGAAGCTGGCCTTACTCTGGGTGGGTAGCTCTGACTGGCGCTCTGCAGGGTCAAGGGGAGAGAGAGAGATAAGAGAGTTTACATATAAAGTGTTAGAAATGCAGCATAGTAAAGTGTAAAGAACTGTATGTTATACTACAGTAAATATATGAGAGGTGTTATGTCTCAACACAGGCAAACATCTGTGGGTGGAATCCTAACTTTGAGATCCTAATCATACATAACTATTTTTGAGCTGCCTAAAATTCTTGAGGTTCTATAACCATCCTCCATACAACATACATGAGTGCATACATTCAGGTACTGTACCTGCCAAGGCCAACTGCAGCCCACTAATATCTATAGACTGTGGCATATTTCCCATGTCCATGCATGACACCTGTCTGGGAGTTTTCTTGAAGAGTTCCCTTGGAGGTGCCAGCATCAGCTGGGAGAGAAAGAACTTCTCAGGCTGTGTTATGGGTGGCAAGAATCCTGTGGACAGTACAATGATCAGTGTGTAAGTATTTGAAATGTGGATGTTCTGCATAGACCTGGGTTGAGACATGACTTAACTACCTGTGGATGAAAGCAACACACACTTTACACACACACACAGGTCGTGAAAACTTTGAACAATACTTATCACTATGCAAACTGATAGGAGTCAGGACACACTCACCTGACAGTTGTTTCTCCTGTTCCTCCCCAACTGGTGAGGGGTTCAGCAAGTGAGCAAAGACAGCGGCAAAGGGGTTGGCGGCAAGAGGCTCTGTGCGGTACATCTCCCAGAGAAGGTAGAGGGCGGTGAGGCGCTGGGCAGAGCTGGGCAGAAGATCCGGCTGTTGCAGCAGCATCACCAACACCGAACCCACTCGGAAATGTTCGGCCTTTGCGAAGTAATGATGAAAGGCGGTTGACAGACTTTCAAAAGTGTTGGTGCAAGCTTCCTCAGAGATGATACCCAAGAGGTTGGACAGCTCCTTCGGGGCGAGTGTCATTGTTCCTATGTTCAGTGATGGCTACAGTAGCAAGCTGCTAGCTTTTAGCTACGTGACTAAAATGATCAATCACTGCTTGCTATTTGTCTTTAATAATTGCAGGTAAATAGCATTACTCAGTTCATACTATCAAACTGAAAAATAAGCTAGTTACATTTCCACTAACTCCACCGGAGTGCAGATATGGGTAGCTAGCTAACGTTAACAATTAACGTTAGTAAATGCTATTAGCTCTTGCTAGTTAGCTTGCTAGTTTGTCAGTAAAGACTAAAGTCATTATAAAAGTAAGTTATAAAGCTTAACAATATCGACCTTGATCAAATAAAAATTTACCTAACAATCTTAATGATCTAAAAAGCATAAATGTGCTTATTATCAAAGGTTAAATAATAAGTAAATTAGCAAGCTTCTCTTAGCTGTCAAATGTTTCATCAGTTTCCACTTCGTTCACAACATTGGAGCGTAGAGTTTTGACCTTTGACACAACTCCGGTAACAACATGCACTATGGGAGATGTAGTAAAGAAGATTATTCGTGTTTTTCTACTTGCTCTGGACTTTTCGTGGATACAACAACACTTGTCTACAAATTACAGGCAACGCATTTGTTACAAATTCTGTGTCAATTAATTTCAATTTGAAACACACTGCAAAAAATGTTTTGGGTTATTATTAACGACGCGGATGTGAACCTATTATTCTTTGCCTTTTATTACCCACAAGCCCTTGCAACTTCCTTTCCGACATTTCTCGGGCATTGTGAGTACTGTTTTGGCAAATTTGTGTTATTTATCCAACTTCATCCTGGCCCTGCGTTTATGTAATCCATCATTCTCATCACATAATTGCAATATGAGACCATGAACTCCTTAAACGATGTAATCGTGATGGGTTATGACCAAAGGATCAATTGGAAATGTATATATAAATGTGTAGCCACCAGTATGCTAATCAGTAACTTTGTCAGCTAAACGGAGTTATTCTGTCATAAATGTCTCGGTTATAGAGCGCATTAGTGCTATGTGTAACGTTTTGTCTGAGGCCCACCATTTCTGGTTAACTGTTTTTTGTTGTTGCTGTGCAATCACAGGGAAACCAGATAATTAGATCAATCTATGCCGGCATCATTAGCTAGCTGAAGTTGGCCATGGTGCCTAGCGTCATCAGATATAATTGCCATATCAACACTGTGTACCTGGCGCAATTGTTATCTGAGGGGTATTCATTAGGCAGATTATGTAGCAAAAGTTTTGCAACGAAAACATGAGTTTATATTGGACATTCAGGTAGGTCCCTCCCTACTTCATTCTGTTTACTCAACGTTTTGAAACGGAATCCGACTAATGAATACACCCCAGGTAAACCCATTACATTTTTCTATAGTAACTTAATGTACCATTACATTTCACTAGACACTGTTTCTTTAATGGCAAAGCATAACCAGTCTAGTAGCCACAAGCTCAGTCAGTGGCTTGGTAGAAAGGCCACACTATTGAGTCAAATAAACAGTGGACACTAAAGGAATGCATGTCTTACAAGCTGAATGTAAGTGAGCAAAAGGTTTATCAATGTGTTATGTATTTTCTTAGATGGCGCCAAACAAGAAGGGCGGTGAAAAAAAGAAGGGGCGCTCTGCCATCAACGAGGTTGTGACCAGGGAGTACACCGTCAACATCCACAAGCGCATACATGGCGTGTGAGTACACTGTCTGGGGGCAAGGCACCACTCTGCTACTGTTGAGTTATGGAAGTGGATTCCCTGCACTAGGTTTTCATGAAGTGCTGTATGCAAGTAGGACACCTTGAGATTAGTCAGGAGTATTTTCTGGTTGCCCGGCGATTATGATCACAAAAATGTAAATTAACTTATTTAAATGAAGAAATGCCATATACATTATTGCCAGCCTTTCACTTACACATAGGGGAGGAACCAGATGGATCAGTTCTGGAATTCTTTGTATATTGGTTGTCAGTAAAAAAATAAAAACTGAGCAGACTCCACTTGCCCGACTGCCATAAATGTCATACATTTTCTGTCTTTCATTTTTTAAATAAATGGGGGTGGAACGAGAAATATCAGTTTTAGGCTTCTGGAATTCTTTGCAGTTTGGTTGTTTTCACATTTTTTTTAACATTTTTTTTATCACTTGCCCAGTGGGGCAACCTCAGAGCAGGCTCAACTAGCACAACTGCTCAGTTCACTTGCCCCAGGCAATAGGGCAACTCTTAATGTCAATCCCTGCCTCGACGTAAAATGCTGAAACATTTAGCATTGTTTTGATTTTGTACATGCTGTATGTTGGAAGTATGCTGTTGCCTATGGAAAGAGGTGCCAATGTTATTGGGCTTAGGCTGCTGAAAATGTTGTGGCTCTATTTTTCATTTGAGTTGTTGTGGCTGGATAAAAACAGCTTGTGCTGTGTAGTTCATTGCTGGATGCTTGTTTTGGAACTGCAATTATGGGCATAGTCCTAAGTAGGGCTGTGACGATACCAGTATTGCAATATATTTTTCCATAGCAAAAATGAAAACGCAAAGCAGATCTCTCTCTTTGGTCCTTTTAAAACCTGCTATATGTAAAATATTGTGTGATATAGCTTGGAAAATAAATAAATGTGACTCTGGATGACCCCATAATGTTTGTTTCCAACATTAGGGTTATTTTCCTAAAGAAGTTAAATCTGCTTTGTGTTGTTTCCTTGCTATGATAATAACGAGTATTGCGATACTGGTATCGTCCTGGCCCTAGTCATAAGAGTATGTTCAAACCAAAACGCATGTCCAACGCAGCAGTGTGGTGGGGTAAGGAGAACATTTTGGTAAAACCGCTGTTCTATGCTTTGGTTGACAGATAGTATACTTCGTTGCAACTTTTCTGATGAACAGACAGCGCAAGACAAAGGCCCTCCCACAATGCATTACTCCAATTGAGTTTGTCTGGTTTGAAGGCATGCTAAGGGCTTTTTTTATTATATTGCTCATAAAAGTTCCCTTTGCTTGCTTTGTCAGGAGATGCTTTGTCAACCTCTTTTGATAATCCGCGCTGTTTGGTGATGTAACTAACATTGCTTCTTGTTCCTGTATCCCTCCAGCTCCTTCAAGAGGAGGGCACCTCGCGCTCTCAAGGAGATCCGAAAGTTTGCCATGAAGGAGATGGGAACCCCTGACGTGCGCATCGACACTCGCCTAAACAAGGCTGTGTGGACAAAGGGGGTGAGGTAATTAAACCCTTGTTTCTTACATCAGAGGCCTCAAGCTTTTCTGTACCAGGGACCAGCAGGCTATGGACTTTCCTTGATTAACTGCTCAATTTTAAAACTGAGGGACCATGAGTTGCAGGTACAGTCTACTACAGGTTAATGCTGTGGCTGCAATGAGTGTTGTGATGACATGCACTTAACTGGAATATGAACCAGACTATGCTGAATTCTAAAGTCTTTGCAGCCTTGTCAAATTCATTGCTTCCTCTACAATGGACTGCACTGGCCAGAATGGCTGCTACAGTGAAACTGTAGTTCATGGGCCTCATTCATTTTCTGTGGATGTTGGGGATACATTTGTGCTATAGACAATTGATTGTTAATTTCAGTGATACACATTCTGTCCAATTTTAAGTCTAATGGATAGTTGAGCATCAGGATCTCTCCGTGTCTCTCCCTCCATCCCGTCATCTCTCAGACAAATAATAAGCACTCTCGCCCCTCTCCTTCCTATCTGCTTTATGCAGTATTGTCCCAATATCAAGTGGTAGAGGCTAGTTAGACCAACGGATAGCCACTTTGACCGAGCCAGCATCAGTGATATCCTCCCGAGTGGCGCAGCGGTCTAAGGCACTGCATCTCAGTGCTTGAGGCGTCACTACAGACCTCTGGTTCGATTCCAGGCTGTATCACAACCGGCCGTGATTGGGAGTCCCATAGGGTGGCCCAGCGTCGTCCAGGTTTGGCCGGTGTAGGCTGTCATTGTAAATAAGAATTTGTTCTTAACTGACTTGCCTAGTTAGATAAAGGTAAAATAAAATAAATCCTGGTATGCTTGGCGATGGGTGTAGAGTTAGTGCAAATAGTACAAGTTGATGCCTGTATAAAGTTTTCTGCATTGCCATGCACTTAGATGCAATGCACACAATTTCCCCATGCTAACTGATTATTTGTATGTTATTTCAGGAATGTCCCATACCGTATGCGCGTTCGCCTGTCAAGGAAACGCAATGAAGATGAGGACTCTCCCAATAAACTGTACACCCTCGTCACATACGTCCCTGTCACGACATACAAAGGTAAGCCCAATACTTGCTTGACTATGTGCTGTATTGACTAGTGTTAGTTTTTTACTCTGTTTATTTAGAATCTAACGGATGACTAGGAAAAGCTCAAACCAAGTTTATTCACCCACTGGGTCAAATAGCTGCAAAGACGTACATGTTTCCACAAGGACATACAGTCAAAAGTTTGGACACCTACTCATTCCAGGGTTTTTCTGTATTTTTACTATTTTCTACATTGTAGAATAATAGTGAAGACATCAAAACTATGAAATAACACATAGAAACATGTAGTAACCAAAAAAGTGTTAAACAAATCAACATGTATTTTATATTTGAGGTTCTTTGCACACGCTTGGCATTCTCTCAACCAGCTTCATGAGGTAGTCACCTGGAATGCTTTTCCAAGTCTTGAAGGAGTTCCCACATATGTTGAGCACTTGTTGACTGCTTTTCCTTCACTCTGCGGTCCAACTCATCCCAAACCATCTCAATTGTGTGGGTGACACTGAAGTTGTGGCAGCCTTATTTTCAGATCAACTGCATGCAAATGGTTATACAAAGTAGAGGACCTGTGAATGCTCCTTCCAAAGCTCAGAGCTGGTTCTGTGCTGTTATGTTCCTCATTTGCCTTTTGAAGACTTGACTGATTCTGATGTTATTTTCTTTCTACAGGTCTGCAGACAGTCAATGTGGATGAGAACTAATTATTCACTGGTGTTTTAAATACATTTATAAGAGACTGCAGTCTTGGATATTTTTTAAATCAGGAATTTATACAATCACTAATTGGGATTCTTGATGGAGCAATTGATGCTTACATAGTTAAGTTTTATTAGTTGTATGTACGGGATACATGGTATACACCGTCCAATGAAATGCTTACATGAAAATAAATTATTTCTAGAGCAAGTGTCTGGTATAGTGTTTGGATATACACTGAACAAAAATATAAACGCAACATGCAACAATTTCAAAGATCACAGTTCATGTAAGGAAATCGGATGTGGAGGTTCTGGGCTGGCATGGTTACACAGTCTGCGGTTGTGAGGCCAGTTGGACATACTGCCAAAATTCTCTAAAATGACAGAGGCGGCTTATGGTAGACAAATTAACATTAAATTCTCTAGCAATAGCTCTGGTGGACATTCCATTACACAATGTGCTTTTGAGGGTCTACAGTCTCCTTAGTGAATCAGTCTTTGAAATACATTGAACAAGACATGGATGAGGCAAAGATTGTTTTAATGATTTACAAACAAACCATGTTAGACTTTTTGCACCAGACATGAAATTGATGTTAAAGAATTGATCAAAGGCCCCATTTTTGTTAATGCACCTCAAGTGAACTTGAGTGTGCACTAAAAATAAAATGTAAAAAATCAAAGGTGCATCAGTAAACTGGACTGCCTCAGTCTGGTTCTAGAACAACCCAAAACTAAATTTGTCATGACTGATTTTATTGGCAAAATCAAGTTCTCTGTAAACTAAATCTGAGGCACAGCAGTATCGTTTGTGTAGTTAGTATCAACTGATTTTGAGAAGGTGTGTAGGACTTTGGTCTATAATATAATACTGGTCACTAACACTTGAATTAAGACATATGCTTGGTAGAATAACAGGCTCATAAACAGTTTTAGAACACTTAAAATAGGAATGATTAAAGAACAAAATACATTTGATCAATACAGGACAAAATATATAAGAACACATTTACAATGTCGCACACAAAGGCAAGATTCCAATGTCCATTATTGTAGGACTGAAACATTAAGCAGTAAATAAAGGTAACAAAAATATTTGGTTGGAAAATAACACTTGTCTGATCTACTTGAGGTTGGAAGATATGGCAAACAAGATCCTGCCTAGGCTGTATTACCAACCATGCAGCCAATATAAAATATTTGAATTTGTTCCCATTTCATAGACTGGATGAAGGAGAACGAAAACATGTCTACAAATACTGAGCAATGTTTAAAACAATATCCCTTTTCATGGTGTTTCATGTGTGGGACGTTCTCACAGTAGTGTATATATGATTGACTGATAGATACATGTAGTCTACATTGATTATCAAGCACGTCTCAGCCACCTCTGGTTTTGGTAAACCTGCTTTCAAACTGAGCGGTTGGTCCCAGAAGACGAGGCCACATTTCATCAGGATAGGAAGACCTACACATCTACAGTACTTCTCCCTTGTGCTTGACAGACCTACGACTCAATATAGGCACATATGGATTCTTGGTACCCACTCATCATTGTAGGATGGAGGACACAGACAACTTACTGGCGACAAATGTGCCTGGCATCTAGACAACCAACTAGATTGGAAGCCCAGTATTGGGTCACACATGGTTGTTCTGTTGGTCATGTTAAATCAGCTGGTTCCTTGCTGAAGCATAAGCAGACCGGCCCTTTCATGGTACTGTTTCACCTTCGCAACAGCCAGCTTTGCTGACAGGTCCATCGGTTTCTCAAAGAAGTTGACCAGCTGCTGTTCTGTGAGGAGCGAGGCCAGGATCTGAGCATAGCTGACCGTCCACTCGCTCTGACTCTCAGACCGCTCGGAACTCTTCCTGGTCCCCTCCTGCCTCTCTCCATCTCCCTCTTTGGTGCTGAAGACAGGGTGGTCTTCTTGACTCCCCTCCCTGTGACCCTCCTCTACCTCGTCTCCTGCCCCGCCCTCGCTGCTGACTTCTGACCGGCTGCGGTGGCCGACCTCACCGATCTGCAGCACCAGGCTGGTCACTGTAGCAATGGCCTGAAAGAGCTCGTTCTCATCTGGGTTGCCATGGAACATGCTGTAGAGGGTCTTACAGAACTGGATGAACTCCCTCTGTAGAAAACAATGCAAGTTTATTGTATCTTTGTTGTGACTTTTAATGACTGTTTAATGGGTCTCTGATTGAATTCCTTCCTAATTGTACAGTGCATTTGGAAAGTATTCAGACCCCTTAACTTTCTCCACATTTTGTTAAGTTACAGCCTTATTCTAAAATTGATTATTGTTTTTTCCCTCAATCTACACACAATACCCCAAAATGACATAGCAAAAAAAAGTTTTTGCAGATGTATTAAAAATATTCAGACCCTTTACTCAGTACTTTGTTGAAGCACCGTTGGCAGCAATTACAGCCTCAAGTCTTTTTGGGTATGACGCTACAAGCTTGGCACACCTGTATTTGGAGAGTTTCTCCCATTCTTCTCTGCACATCCTCTCAAACTCTGTCAGGTTGGATGGGGAGCGTCGCTGCATAGCTATTTTCAGGTCTCTCCAGAGATGTTCGATCGGATTTAAGTCCGGGCTCTGGCTGGGCCACTCGACATTCAGAGACTTGTCCCGAAGCCACTCCTGCGTTGTCTTGGCTGTGTGCTTAGGGTCGTTGTCCAGTTGGAAGGTGAACCTTTGCCCCAGTCTGAGGTCCTGAGCACTCTGGAGAAGGTTTTTGTCAAGGATCTCTCAGTACTTTGCTCTGTTCATCTTTCCCTCGATCCTGACTAGTCTCCCAGTCCCTGCCGCTGAAAAACATCCCCACAGTATGATGCTGCCACCACCATGCTTCACCGTAGGGATGGTGCCAGGTTTCCTCCAGACGTGGCGCTTGGCTGACAGGCCTAAGAGTTCAATCTTGGTTTCATCAGACCAGAGAATCTTGTTTCTCATGGTCTGCGAGTCCTTTAGGTGACTTTTGGCAAACTCCAAGCGGGCTGTCATATGCCTTTTACTGCAGAGATGGTTATCCTTCTGGAAGGTTCTCCCATCTCCACAGAGAAACTCTGGATCTCTGTCAGAGTGACCATCAGGTTCTTGGTCACCTCCCTGATCAAGGCCCTTATCCCCTGAATGCTTCGTTTGGCCAGGCGGCCAGCTCTAGGAAGAGTCTTGGTGGTTTCAAACTTCTTCCATTTAAGAATGATGGAGGCCACTGTGTTCAAGGGGACCTTCAATGCTGCAGAAAGTTTTTGGTACCTTACCCAGATCTGTGCCTCGACAGAATCCTGTCTCGGAGCTCTACGGACAATTCCTTTGACCTCATGGCTTGGTTTTTGCTTTGACATGCACTGTCAACTGTGGGACCGTATATAGACAGGTGTGTGCCTTTCCAAATCATGTCCAATCAACTGAAGTTACCACAGGTGGACTCTAATGAAGTTGTAGAAACATCTCAAGGATGATCAATGGAAACAGGATGCACCTAGCTCAATTTCGAGTCTCATAGCAAAGGTTCTGAATACTTATGTAAATAAGGTATGTTTTTTATTAGTAATACATTTGCAAAAATTTCAAAACCTGTTTTCGCTTTGTCATTATGGGTATCGTGTGTAGATTGATGAAAAAAACAATTTAATCAATTTCAGAATAAGGCTGTAACGTACCAAAATGTGGAAAAAGTCAAAGGGTCTGAATACTTTCCAGATGCTCTGTATGTACCTGGTTCATTAGAGGTAGTGGTTTCTCCACATTCTTCTCCTTCTCTTTAGCCAGGTCCTTCAGCATCTGCTTCAACTGCTCCTGATAGTCTCTGATCTCCCCTTCAACATGAACACACACAGCAGGAGCTACATCAACGTGATAATCTGAACAGGACAGAGCTAGAAACGTGAACCTGGAACACTTGAAGTGTGAATACTTACCATTAGGCATCTCTATATGGAGTGGTCTGGTAGTGGACAGCAGAGGGCTCTTCAGTGGAAACGGGTCATCCTCACTCTCAGTCAGAGCTACATGAGACAGTCGCATTATGAAGAACGTTAATGGATCTCTAGTTAAAGCTAGTTGCATGTCCAGCTAAAGTACATGTGTCTTAAAGAGGAGCAAAACACCATAGGAAGGCTATGTGACCCACCTGGAGGTATGTGCAAACGATACAGTAGTCTGACCTTCTCATTCAGTTCCTCACAGTATAGCGTGTCTGAAGCCGAGAGAGACACATAATTGTCACCATTACCATTGGCTTTAAATCACAATGTGTGTCAGTTAGTGTTTATACGGTCTGTCTGAATGATCGAGGACCACAGAGGGAGCCCTTCAGCTCTGTGAGTTTAAGAGGTGAATTTACATAATTCCTACTTCAGTCCTCCACTGTACACAGCAGTGACGGCTCCTCCTAAAAGCCTTGGCTGCATATTGATTCCCATAAAAGCTATGTGGGCTGAATTCCAGATGCCCATGAAAGCCTAGTGGGCAGGTTTCCAATGTTCATGACTGATACGCCTTACAAGGGAACTTGGATGTAAGCTAGCCAGGTATGTTTTCTTGGTTTTTGTATACTTGCAGGCACACAGCCAATCACACAAACTCATATTACACAAAGTCTCTCTTCAGGCATACACACACTCTCCCTACCTCTTTTAAACACACACACCCTCCCTCTCTTGCTTGCTCTTTCTCACACACACAGACACTCGCTCACACACTGCAGATGTAAATGAGCTGTTAGCTAAATCTGGTGCAACGCATCACTTCTGAGACTTATGTTTTGTTGTACATTGTCCCTCTTTCAAATAAACATATCTTTAAAAAATAAAATACCCAGCCACCCGACGAACTCTCTGAAGGTGATGAATGAGTCTCTGTCCTGGTCCAGCAGTGTGAAGGTCCGGTGGGCCACGGTGTCAGTGTGGAGGCCACACAGCCAGGGAACCAGTAGCATGTACAGGCTTTTGAACTGGGCCCGGTCCACTCTGTATTGCTCCACATAGGGCTGGCCTGGGTCATGGTGCTGGAGAGCCACTGTGGCGCTCCCATCACCCCAGTACAGGTTGATGAAGTGCTCTGTCTATAAGAGAAACAGATGGGTTGTTGTACAGTTGGACTATATGTGGAGGATATTATCATCGTGATCTGGCAATGCCTTTCTTAGTGATTCTGGGAAGATAAATAAAGTTGTATTGAATTGAACTGAAGTACCTTGAAGAGGTCGTAGACATCAGCCAGGTTTTCAGGGGAGAGAGAGACATATGGGGTCACCACTCTGAGCTACACACACACACACACACAGAGAGGGGAAGGGTCAGAGCAGTTTGGAGAGGAAAAGTGTAAGGTTTCAACATTTGGTCATGGTGTATTTCATGCATGCGTGTGACTGTTTGAGATGTGATATGAGAGACCCACCGCATTCTCCTTGGTGATGTCCTCGTGTGCTTGGAGAACCTGGATCCGGTGTCTACATCGCAACCGCTCTATCTGTCTCACCGTCAGGTCTCCAAATTTCTGACACAACAGGACAGGGACACACAACGAGAACAAACATCAGTGCCACACTTTCACCACTACCCTCTGGTGGTGTGGAGGGAGTATTGCAGTGCTGTCTTACCTCATAGGAGTCAGTAATGAGGTCAGTGATCAGGGTGTGTAGTTCTACAGGCGGGCTGCCCTCCTCCTCCCCACTCTGAGACGAGGGAGGGGGAGGGGCAGGGGGAGACGGATCCTCATCGTACTTCACCTGGTCCAGAAAGCTGCAGGCAGAGAAGTTTTGTGTGAGAATGTAGACTATGCTCAAAGTGAACTGTGTAGATGCATACAGTATATGTGTAGACATGCATGCATTCCTCCATATGCATTACCCAGTGAGGATCATGAGGGCCTGGCCGTCGTCTGCACTAGCGCACAGCGCCGCTGCGTTCGCATCCAGCACAGCTAGCCCCAGCTGGAGGATGGCTTTGATGCCGTGGAAGAAGAAGCAGTCTACCACACAGACGGCGCTGCGGAAGGGAAGCACACTGAGGAAGAGGGTAAGGAACCAGGACAGGGAGATGGAAGAGAGGGGGGAGAGGTCGGGAATGTGCTCGGCCAGCTCTGGAAGACGCTCCTGGATCAGCTCTTCAAACACTGACTGGTCCACCTGAGCACCTGCAAACACACGTGAAAATCTACATTAATATAGGAAAACACATATAGAAATGGATTTCGGTCTCATGAACGTACACCTCTATAGAAGTACAGAACATCCTTTATCATCCCATAGAGGGAAATTAATGTTGGTCTCGTGGATGTATGCTGTATACTCATGTGGTCCTCTGTAGCTCAATTGGTAGAGCATGGCGCTTGTAACGCCAGGGTAGTGGGTTCGATCCCCGGGACCACCCATACGTAAAAAAAAAAAATTATGCACGCATGACTAAGTCGCTTTGGATAAAAGCGTCTGCTAAATGGCATATTATATTATATTATATGATGTCTTGACACATGCGTGTGAGAATGACATGTTCTCATTGTGCAATATCCCAGATAAGTGATCTTTTAAAACTTTATTTGAACCAGGAAGCCACATGGAGACAAAATCTATTTTCTAAGGAGAATAAGTAAAGAACTGCAATTTCAAAGCAGAACAGGCCAGACACTGTCGTTCAGAAGAGGAAATTACTTTGATGCATTTCATATGCGCCATAAATAAATAGTGGCACAAAGCACAGGAAATTAGCTTGTGTTTCAGCACACGCTTCACGCTGGCTAAAGAAAGCCTTGGGTTATTGTTGGCTCTGTTTGCAGTCAGGGCAGAAAAACAGCCCTGACGGAGAAAAAACCCACATTCAAATCACCTAAACACCAGACCGGCTCTAGACGCAAATGAACAGAACAGCTACTAATAGACCTAATAAATGATCTGCTGTGGTTTTGATAAGACTTCTCTACTGTACAGTACTAGCTATGATGTCAGTAACTGTGGAAGTGGAAGAACTATCGCTGTAGTAATAGAGAGCATCTGGTCAGCGGGGTGGTGGCACAGGAATCCTCATCTCTCCCAAGTGGACATTCTCTATTTTTCCCCTGACCCATCTGTCTATCTCCTCATTTGAATTCCATGCTGTCACAGTCACTAGCCCATTTAAGCTTAATATCCTTGTCATCTATCGCCCTCCAGGTTCCCTTGGAGAGTTCATCAATGAGCTTGACGCCTTGATAAGTTCCTTTCCTGAGGATGGCTCACCCCTCACAGTTCTGGGGGACTTCAACCTCCCTACATCTACCTTTGACTCATTTCTCTCTGCCTCCTTCTTTCCACTCCTCTCCTCTTTTGACCTCACCCTCTCACCGTCCCCCCCTACTCACAAGGCAGGCAATACGCTTGACCTCATCTTTACTAGATGCTGTTCTTCTACTAATCTCACTGCAACTCCCCTCCATGTCTCCGACCACTACTTTGTATCCTTTTCTCTCTCGCTCTTCTCCAACACTACTCACTCTGCCCCTACTCAGATGGTAATGCGCCGTCGCAACCTTCGCTCTCTCTCTCCCGCTACTCTCTCCTCTTCCATCCTATCATCTCTTCCCTCTGCTCAATCCTTCTCCCTCCAATCTCCTGATTCTGCCTCCTCAACCCTCCTCTCCTCCCTTTCTGCATCCTTTGACTCTCTATGTCCCCTATCCTCCCGGCCGGCTCGGTCCTCCCCTCCAGCTCCGTGGTGTGATGACTCATTGCGAGCTCACAGAACAGGGCTCCGGGCAGCCGAGCGGAAATGGAGGAAAACTAGACTCACTGCGGAACTGGCATCTTTTCACTCCCTCCTCTCTACATTTTCTTCATCTGTTTCTGCTGCTAAGGCCACTTTCTACCACTCTAAATTCCAAGCATCTGCCTCTAACCCTAGGAAGCTCTTTGCCACCTCCCTGCTGAATCCTCCTCCCCCTCCCCCCCTCCTCCCTCTCTGTGGATGACTTCGTCAACCATTTTGAAAAGAAGGTTGACGACATCCGATCCTCGTTTGTTAAGTCAAATGACACTGCTGGTCCTGCTCACACTGTCCTACCCTATGTTTTGACTTATTTCTCCCCTCTCTCTCCAGATAAAATCTTGCGACTTGTGACGGCCGGCCGCTCAACAACCTGCCCGCTTGACCCTATCCCCTCCTCTCTTCTCCAGACCATCTCCGGTGACCTTCTCCCTTACCTCACTGATCAACTCATCCTTGACCGCTGGCTATGTCCCTTACGTCTTCAAGAGAGCGAGAGTTGCACCCCTTCTCAAAAAACCAACACTCGATCCCTCTGATATCAACAACTACAGACCAGTATCCCTTCTTTCTTTTCTCTCCAAAACTATTGAGCGTGCCGTCTTTAGCCAACTCTCTTGCTATCTCTCTCAGAATGACCTTCTTGATCCAAACCAGTCAGGTTTCAAGACTGGTTATTCAACTGAGACTGCTCTTCTCTGTGTCACGGAGGCTCTCCGCACTGCTAAAGCTAACTCTCTCTCCTCTGCTCTTGTCCTTCTAGACCTGTCTGCTGCCTTTGATACTGTGAACCATCAGATCCTCCTCTCCACCCTCTCCGAGCTGGGCATCTCCGGCGCGGCTCACTCTTGGATTGCGTCCTACCTGACTGGTCGCTCCTACCAAGTGGCGTGGCGAGAAGCTGTCTCCGCACCACGTGCTCTCACCACTGGTGTCCCCCAGGGCTCAGTTCTAGGCCCTCTCCTATTCTCGCTATACACCAAGTCACTTGGCTTTGTCATATCCTCGCATGGCCTCTCCTATCATTGCTACGCAGACGACACACAACTAATCTTCTCCTTTCCCCTTCTGATAACCAGGTGGCGAATCGCATCTCTGCATGTCTGGCAGACATATCAGTATGGATGACGGATCACCACCTCAAGCTGAACCTCGGCAAGACGGAGCTGCTCTTCCTCCCGGGGAAGGACTGCCCGTTCCATGATCTCGCCATCACGGTTGACAACTCTGTTGTGTCCTCCTCCCAGAGTGCGAAGAGCCTTGGCGTGACCCTGGACAACACCCTGTCATTCTCCGCTAACATCAAGGCGGTGACCCGATCCTGTAGGTTCATGCTCTACAACATTCGGAGAGTACGACCCTGCCTTACACAGGAAGCGGCACAGGTCCTAATCCAGGCACTTGTCATCTCCCGTCTGGATTACTGCAACTCGCTGTTGGCTGGGCTCCCTGCCTGTGCCATTAAACCCCTACAACTCATCCAGAATGCCGCAGCCCGTCTGGTGTTCAACATTCCCAAGTTCTCTCACATCACCCCGCTCCTCCGCACATTACACTGGCTTCCAGTTGAAGCTCGCATCTGCTACAAGACCATGGTGCTTGCCTACGGAGCTGTGAGGGGAACGGCACCTCCGTACCTTCAGGCTCTGATCAGTCCCTACACCCAAACGAGGGCATTGCGTTCATCCACCTCTGGCCTGCTGGCTCCCCTACCTCTGCTGAAGCACAGTTCCCGCTCAGCCCAGTCAAAACTGTTCGCTGCTCTGGCACCCCAATGGTGGAACAAGCTCCCTCACGACGCCAGGACAGCGGAGTCACTCACCACCTTCCGAAGACATTTGAAACCCCACCTCTTTAAGGAACACCTGGGACAGGATAAGTAATCCTTCTACCCCCTCCCTTACCCCACCCCACCCCAAAAAAAAAAAAAAGATAATAATTGTAAAGTGGTTATCCCACTGGCTATAAGGTGAATGCACCAATTTGTAAGTCGCTCTGGTAACGTAAATGTAATAGCAATGTAGTAACAATAGCAGTAGCAGCGGTAAACCAACGCCGGCTGTTTGCCCTCTCACCTATGACTCTGCGGTTGAAGTAGTCAGGCAGCATTCTCTCACACACAGCCACCAGCAGCCAGAATGCCTCCTCCTCTTTAGTGTACAGCAGCATCACAGACGCCAGGATATTCATTGACTAGGAAGAACGACAGGCAGTCAGTTATACTCTACCTGCACTTTATACACACACACATTGTGACATAGGTTACTGTATGGTAGTGGATTCCTTACCTGGCAGTAGCCGATCTTGGGGTTGCGGTGGGCATATGCGGTGAGGACGCGGCGCAGGGCAGCGATGCCCGTGACATTCTGGAAGGCGGGGTGGTCGGGCAGCGAGCGGTGCAGGTCTCTCTCGATCTCCTCCGTGGCCAGGCTGCTCTGCCCCATAGACTCTGTCACCAGCCCCGAGTAGTAGTCTGGGTGGGACGCCAACTCTGATGATGAGTCTGTGTTTCAAGGGGGAAATGGTGTCGGTGTTACACAGCAACAGCATATAAGCACTTACATGAAGGCCTGGTCGGAAAAGATCCCCTAGGCCCTAACCCTTCTCTTTTGTTCCTACCCGTAAGTGTTTGCAGATCTGAAAGGAATGGATAAGTTACCTATCCGGTTCCATCAGATCTGCAAACACCAAAAAGGTAGGGGTTACTTTGGGACAAGGCTTGTTTGGAGAGAAAAAAACTAGCTCTTGCCCTTTGTTGACTCCCTCTCGAGGATGTGATGCGTTCAGATCATTGAGAGGGAGTAAACAGGTGACTGGGATAGTTTGATATGGGGCCAAAGAAAACAGTCAGTTCAGTTGCATCCCAGTGGAGTGCTGCCCCTCTGTTTCTGCTGCAGTCTGTGCAGTGTGTGCTCACACAGGCCTAATTGCTTGTTATTATTGGAGCTGAGGTTATGAGCTATTTATATGCCCACTAAATCCTGCTGATCTGGATTCCATATGACATCAACTCTGATACTAACAGCATAAAGCAAAGCAGGATCCCTGAGAATAGACTCTACAAAGTTGCATCAAGACTTCTGGTTCTGAAAAAAGGGAACTGCTTGCCTGGTAAAAGCCCCTCCCCAAACTCTAAGATAAAATGGCACATACCATAAATGCTAGGCATTGTGTACAGTACATAGGAAAGGAACTGAAAGTAGGCAGTCGAGCAGAACACAGAACAGCACTCTCTATCCCTCCTTTGAGGATATACAGATATATACCCTAAACATAACCCCACCATTAAATATATTTGGCCTGTTGTTATAGCAACCAATGACCTCAGACTCCTCCACCCCTCACCAGAGAAGGTCATCCATAGCTCTCCCCGTAGCGACTCTGGTATCCCCATGGCAACCAGCTTCTGGATCTTCTCTGTGCGGAACATGTGGACGCCTCGACCATACTCCGAGAAGTGGTCATCCCACAGACGCTCTTTCACCTGCTCCATGGTCTGCAGGACACACACAGGACACACACCCTTGAGCAAACCGAGTATTGTAGTACTGTAAGCACATTCTCAGCAATAGCCTTGGGCAGTATTAGAGGGAGGTAAGGTTACCCAGTGTGCCAGCCAATGGGAGAACAGGGATCAATACATGTTTAAATAATGAAAGAGATGTAACAGAATCATAACCTCATCCCAGAACTACCACTATACCACATGTACCATACCCTGGTTGCCAGTCTATTTCTAATAGGCTTGATGTTTAACATTGTAAAGTAGAACCGGTTTAGGGTTTAACATGGTTGCCAGTTTCTGGTTTAAGCAACTCCTTTGTTGTTGTCATGCTAAACATTTAGAATTCTAATTTAGCCCAATAAATGTTTAGCATGACAACAACAAAGGAGTTGCTTAAAACAGAAACAGGCAACCAAGTTAAACCCTAAACCAGTTCTACTTTGCAATGTTAAACATCAAGCCTAGACACATTGGCCAATGTAGCCCTGCTATCCCTGCAGCCACCATTATTATGGTATCTGCTATGTAAACATCATAATAAGGGAGGCTCCAGCCATATCTGGGTTATGGCCAACGGTGCACTAGTTTCCATACTCACAGCTGTGCTATTGTTGCGGTCCGTTTGAGAGTGATGGTAGTATGCCATCAGAGCCTCTGTGTTCACTGTGTGACGTAGTGGTCTCTCCTCGATCTCCACCCCGTCACAGTACATGGTGTCATAGTAGAAGGTGTAGTAGGGAGACGAGGAGGTCTGGAGCAACCAAACACCAGAATTAGTCAAACATACACAATGAATGAGTAACTTGTGTGCAAAAATACTAGCAGTAATCATATATGTTCTTGGAGTAAAGTTACATTCTGCTTCTTGGACTAGGCCTGTTGGGCATCACCATGAGATATGATGTGTGTAATTGACAACAGACATTTGGTAGACGGTTGGTAGTGTAGCTGTAGCATACCAGAGATTTCTTGCTGTGGAACATGGAGTGTTTCCACTGCAGGGCTCTGAGCCGTGATGTCAGACTGTCCACCAGGCTGTCTCTGTCCTGCAGCTCGATCAGCTGGAAGGCCTTCTTACTCCTCACACTGACGATCACTGGGTTAGGCAGGAAGCTGGTGCTCTCAGCCTTCTCTATGGAGATCACCTGGCAGCACAGGAGGAGACAGAGGTAAAAGGTCAAGAGCCAAGGAAATGTTGGTAGTATGGTACAGTAATGAAAAATATGATATGGTAAAACGGTATTAACACAGTAATAAACTTTGAATAACTTATTAATGTATGCAAGAGCCATACATCTCTATACATGACTCCGGTGTATAGCAACTAATGTAGTTAACCATGGTAAAGCTTAAGGCTAAAGGTGTATGCTCTAAAACTTCAAACAACACTTGTACACCGTAAACAGTGGTAAGCCACATTCCCCCAGCATTAAAGTTTAACCAGCAGAGTCAGCTGCAGTATGGTATGATGGCTACCTCTGAAAGGGGGATGAGCAGGCTGCAGTGGCCCTCCTCTCGACTGGCGAAGCATAGGTAGCGGTCGGTGGTGTAGAGCGTTCCTGCCGTGTGGCAGCGGGCATGGGACGTCCACACTGAACACAGCGCCACCTCCTGGAGACACTCGCCCCGCGGTAGCCGAAATAGAGCCAGGACGTACGCCCTCAGCGCCTGCTCCTCCAGAACCCTGAGGGGAAAGGGGAAGAGTTACAAAAAGGACCAAAAATATCACTCACTTGGCAAGAGTTGCATGTGAGGAAGTTACCAAATAAATAATACAACTAAACAGTCTGTTACACCCATAGAGAGATAGAACTGAATGCTTTAGCTCAGCTCTCAAGTACAATCTTTACCACTGCAAACCTTCACTTTACACACAAAACCTGAAAATGTTATGGTGAATGTACTACAGGTGGAACTGAAACACACACACATTCAGTTGCACTATGGGGCAATGGTTATACAGAGGATGGTCTGAAACTAGAGGGAAGTAAATTAGTCAAGATATCAGGGATTTTCAGGAAGTGCATGATGAGGTCTCTTTTGACCAAAGCAGATTACAATGACAACCTTTTTAAATGACTGTTTATCAAACTGTTTAATCAGGAAAGCAACCGATCAATCAGATTACTGATGCCAATCCAATCCTCTCAGATCTGTGAGGCAAGTCAACAAGGAACAGATAATGTGAATCTGAACAAACCGAATGACAGACCCACACAAAATCCCCTGCCCTCCTTTATGCTACAATACGCTACAACTTTATCGAACTTATTCTGCGTTGCCCTCTGACCTCTTGGTGATGTTGGAGGACTGCTGGAGGACTCGGTCCAGTTCCAGACCTCCGCTGTCCAGCAGGCGTCGCAGTGCGATGTCAGCCAGCTGACCCATGACCCCGAACACCTCGTCCAGGCTCAGGAACATAGAGAAGTCCCGCTGGTGCCGCCGCGTTGTCACACGCACCATGTCCGTCATGAGGCCAGTGGAGACCCGCTCCAGTCTCGTCACCTCTGCCCACGGGATCACAAACTTCACTGAGGGAGATAGAAGTGGTCAAAGGTCAGGGGTTAGGTTTAGAAGTCACTGTACCCTGAAGACATTAGGGATTTGAATGGTTAAAGAGATTGAACAGGATCTTAAGCACTTACAAATTCGTAAGATATTGTACGAATTGGAATTCGTAACATATCATACACATTTTTATTTTATTTCGTAACATGTCATACGAAATGGATGACGTTGCACACAATTGTGCACAATTTTCGGGGACCTGTTTTGGCTCGAGGGCTACTTTCAAAACTACTGGCTGAAGTTATACAAAACCTCTGTAGCATCACTTTAACTGAAAAGGCACAATGTTTACTGTGGAAAGTATGTCACAGTTCACAAGACATATAAAGGGCTTGTGATCTTTACAACTGGAAAACAGAGGTTAGAGTTGCTAATTAACAGACACAAACAGTTCAGACTAGTTCACAGCCAGTAAGACATTTTTAAAATTAAGACTGGGGACTAGTCAGTGTGCTAATTAAAGGAGGAGCATTTAAGGGGACGGACCTTCCTTTCCCAGCAGGAAGGAGTAGAAGGCCATGTGGTTGATGCTGAGGTAGAGCCAGCCCTGCCGGGGGACCCGCCCCTTCCAGCAGCAGCAGGAGTAGGTGGTGACCAGCTTCTCTGAGGAGGGCAGGCCGAAACGCAGCTCAAACTTCAGCAGCACCTCCCGGAACTTCTCTGGGTCCTCCTCCTGAGCCGCCTGCTTCCCCCTCACCTCCTCTGCTATCAGACCCTGGGGAGAAAGATAAATAAATGGGCAATGAAAGAAAGAGAAAAGAGGAAGAGAAACGAAACGAAAATGCAAAACGGGTTGCGAGCAAGATACACAGAAATAGAAAAGAAAGTCAAGAGGAGAGAGACATCAACATTTAAGAGCCAGATTAGGTTGAACACAGTGGTTTTTGATAGTAGGCCTACATAGTATTTACAGAGTATCACAGGTCTATAGTAAGACTTATTCTAATAGTACAGTACCTTGACTTTCCCTTTGACGAAGCTGGCGACATCCTCCTTGTTCTCAAACACTGAGAGAGAGTGGAGTAGGTTCTGAACCAGCCAGTCCCAATGTCTGTTCATGTCCTCGACAGCAGCACCTGTATAACAACACACAGACACACACACAACGCCCGTCAGAGAGATAGATACACAGAGAGAGAGCCAGAGAAAAAGAGTAGAAGCAGGGACCTACCGACCGACAAATATGAGAATCGGAGAGAGGAAAAGGAGAGCTTACCACAGGCTATGGCCCAGCTGACCTGTGACCCAGGCACCTGTAGCAGGATACGGAACGGTGTGACCCGGGCGTTGGAGTCCAGCACTGTGTCCAGAGCTCCCACCAGAAGACCTGGATAGAGCAGTCAGACACAGAAAGAGACCAGAAATTACTGAGAAATACCGTCTGACAACACACACGTCAATGAGCTCATTGACACATCGGAGTGAGGCAACATTATACCAACCCATATGAACTGTTATATCATATATTTTCATAGGGTAAGACAATTGTACTAAGCTCATAAGGCATTTTCTACAATAATCAATGGTTATCATTACTTGAATGACATTTGAACAGCAGGAAGTTTTACAGATTGTGCCTTTAAGCAGATGGGACACAACGGCACCTATTACACATAACGCCAGAAAGCTAAAGGCATTATCATGTGTATAACAGACCCAGACATTCCACAGTGAGCACTGGATGCTGGCCTTTAGGCATTACAAAAGACATTGGACATAAACTGGTACCACTAACAGTCTCATAATGGCCACATTATGTGAGAACATAACATAGACTTAAACGCTATTAAGAGGCTCAACACAAGTATTGTTCTTCTCTGTTTGTCACTACATTGGTCCACTAGAATCATAGGGTAACAGTATTGGAATCGAGACCCTCTCCCTCTCCACAAATCCTCCACATGTGAAGCCCCAAAGCCATGGCATAAAAACTACAAACTTAAGAGAATCCCTAACATCCCAAACTCAATTTCAATTTCAATTTATTTTTATTTATTTATTTAACCAGGTAAGCCAGTTGAGAACAAGTTCTCATTTACAACTGCGACCTGGCCAAGATAAAGCAAAGCAGTGCGATAAAAACAACAACAACACAAGAGTTACATATGGAATAAACAACACGTAAAGCCAATAACACAATAGAAAATGTATATACAGTGTGTGCAAATGTAGTAAGTTATGGAGGTAAGGCAATACATAGGCCATAGTGCAAAATAATTACAATTTCGTATTAACACTGGAATGATAGATGTGCAAATAGAGATACTGGGGTGCAAATGAGCAAAATAAATAACAATATGGGGATGAGGTAGTTGGGTGTACACAGATGGGCTGTGTACAGGTGCAGTGATCGGTAAGCTGCTCTGACAACTGATGCTTAAAGTTACTGAGGGAGATAAGAGTCTCCAGATGGGCCAGATGTATACAAAATGGTGTCGTCTGCGTAGAGGTGGATCTGAGAGTCACCAGCAGCAAGAGCGACATCATTGATATACACAGAGAATAGAGTCGGCCCGAGAATTGAACCCTGTGGCACCCCCATAGAGACTGCCAGAGGTCCAGACAACAGGCCCTCCGATTTGACACATTGAACTCTATCTGAGAAGTAGTTGGTGAACCAGGAGAGGCAGTCATGAAGCGAGGCAGTTGAGAAACCAAGGCTATTTAGTCTGCCAATAAGAATGCGGTGATTGACGGAGTCGAAAGCCTTGGCCAGGTCGATGAAGTTGGCTGCACAGTACTGTCTTTTATCGATTGCGGTTATAATATCGTTTAGGACCTTGAGCGTGGCTGAGGTGCACCCATGACCAGCTCGGAAACCAGATTGCATAGCGGAGAAGGTACGGTGGGATTCGAAATGGTCGGTGATCTGTTTGTTAACTTGGCTTTCAAATAATTCCGAAAGGCAGGGCAGGATGGATATAGGTCTGTAACAGGTGTTAGGTGATGAGAAGGCTAAATTAACCCTGGAACAAGCATTTATAGACAACTTCAACCTCCTCCACCCCACCAGTCATCAGCTTAAAGGAACCAGATAAGCTCTCTAATATCCTGAGATACCATAACAGAGCCTAGACTCATCATCATAGTATCTCTTTAACTCCACTGCTAATCAGGATCATGATTTTCCACTGAGGCTAAAGCCACCAAACACTAGTCCCTCTTGTCTAGTTTTAATGCTGGGTTTCCTTTGCTATGCACAGCCATTTTCAACAGAATGGATCATTTAGGGAGAGCTGGTAAAAATAGTCCATCAAAGTGAGGCTAACAGTCAACTGCAGCACATGGCCTCAACTCCAATAAAAAATGACGTTTGCAAGAACAGTCTGTTAATGATTTGGCTAATAATCAAATGTGTAATAACCACACAGCAGGCAGCACAAGGCATTAGGCTTACTGCTTTCAATAGGCTACAGTCTGGTTGCTGTGAGATCACTATCTAGTGTTTGGCATTCCCACTCCCACCCAACCGCTCCGCCACAAAGGAGGAGAGGGATGGAAGACAAACTGAACACCAGACAAATAACCCTCTCCTGGAGCACTGCCCATTCCAGACCACACCACAACTATCAAGCTCTGCCTGTCTGCCGCTCTGAACCATCGCACCCTGGCAACACAAACCTATGTGTCACCTAATTGTCACCTAATCGCTTACTTCACAGTGCTTCCATTGTAAGTCCCAATGTAAACTACTGTAAATCATGTATTTTGTTCTGCTTATGTTGTTCACTGAGTTTGTATCTCTGTGGACAATGGACGTGTACAGTGTGCTCAGAGGTCGAGAGAAAGGAAACCTCAAATGTCCCTCACAGGAAAGTGTTCTTTGTGAAATAGGAAGCAGAAGTTATTTTAGCTAATGACAGAGTGCTAGAGGTTGCAGATGTTTCAGTGCTGCTCAATACCCTTTTTATGTTTTATCTTAATCGAATCATGGATTTATTTTTTCCACTTGATATTGTACTTGTTCTTCTTTTCCCATAACAAAACTAGGGTGTGGTTTTGGAAGAGGCAAAAACTAGGGCTTCATCTGACCTTTCATCCCACAGATTGACTTTGGAAACCATGGCAACAAACAAATAGCTAAACTCTAGCCAGGAAGTTTTATATTGTTTTTATGAGATAATACTCCCTATCATCTCCTGTGCCTGATGTATACAGTTCTATAGGAAAGTGAAAATCCCAATGAAGATTAAACAAAAACAAGACCAGGTGACACCTTATCATTGTCCATCATCAGACAAAAATGGTATGGAAATGAAAGAAATCAATGAAGACTTGAAACAAAATAAACAGTCCAAATAATAAGTTATATGTTAACAAGTTGCCTGTTATTGCTCCAAGGCTTCATGGCACATATTATTTTAAGTTGCAAAGAAAGCATTGTTATGATTATCCCAAATATGGGGGAAAACATTTGTTTCCAAGCTTTGTAAAAAGCGGATCCTACACTGTAGCCAAGGCTATGGCAAGTTGCAACATACTGTAGCTGCAATTCAACCAATAATTATTATATTATGCTCGGAGACATGCTGGAAGACACTCTGGGATACATACTCCCAGCACAATGTCCCCCCCAAAAATGTTGGTTGAATCGCAGCTAATTGCAACATTGTTTATAAATTAGTTGTTACTGTGTTGCGTAGCGTAGACTGGTGTGTCCAAGTGGTAATATAGGCTACTAACGCTGCTGAAATCAGACGAAAGACAGTGAGATGAATGGGAGCAGGTAGCGTATTACCTGTAAATTTCCCCTCTGAATCCCCATGTCCTCTTCTGCGCTGCAAAAGGAAGAAATCGTTAGATCTTTCGGTAACCCAAAGCTTCAGCGCGTTTTTCAGCAAAACTTCTTCTGGATTCAACCACATTCTTTCAAAAGAAGAGATTGACAAAGAGAATGGAACGAAAACTAAATAACGCAGATTGTCGTTGTTGTTGATAGCATGCAAACTTTTTCAGCAGTTCCAACCGCCGGAGAAAAAAAAAAGATTTTCAGAGTCATCCATGACTGATCTCAAGCGCTGCCCGAGATCGCAGGCGTCTTCTGTTGATATTTTCTCTCACCCTGTACAAGTACTCCTCTCAGCGAGAGAGAGTCTTATTTCCGCATTCAACCTTACCTTCCCATATTTCCGGCGAAAGCAAGGAAGTTTAATTTCACTGGCCCTTTGTGATTGGTTATTAGGTCAAGTATTCATTTAAACAGTTTATCGTACACAACTAAATCTGGGAATAGAATTGGATTGTAAACACATTGCTTATTTGTCTATAGTAAATGGGTTTAGTCATGTGCCATATGTTGTCTGGTGTGTGCAAAAATAAATCAGAAGATGAATGTTGACGACATCTATTATATCAATTCTGCATTATGCTTACAATGACTTATTATCATCACTACTATGCATTTCAGTTAGATGACCTAGTGACCTATTGTCAAAAGCAACTGTACCTCCCTCACATTAAATGGAATCATGTGTGTAAATACAGATTTGAGATGTTTAGATGCATTTTCTTTCTCTTATAGTTTACAATTTAATAGTTTTTGATCATACCATATATTAATTTAGTGACATATCAATGCAATTTCAGTGAAGTACCCATACAGTCTATTTACAGAATGTTCTATATGGAAGTAGAAATATAGCCTTAGCCTACTTCTGTGGTAAAATGGTGGTTGCAACATGCATGCTGGGCATGATGTAATTAACAAAGACATCATTTCTATAGGATTTCTGTTTTAAACTATGATGAAATTAACACACATGTCAGTAATGGCCAGTGTTGTCAAATGCCCCTATTATAAGATACTCCACTCATCATAATTAAGAGAACAATTATATTTTAGAGCAAAAATGTCATTGATCATCACAAGATCAAGATTGACATATCCATATCCATAATCAATTATTTCAAAATGTATCTGCAAAGTTTGTAGAAAATTGTCCTAAGAATATGATTAATAAATGCATAGCCTATACTCATCATTACTACATTGAAAAAAAATCATGAAAAAATAAATAATAATAACTATATAACTATAATAACTATATAACTATATATATATATATATATATATATTAGAATATATTAGAATATAGAATAACTAGATAAGTGTCACGCCCTGGCTCTGGGGACTCTTTAATGTTGAGCCAGGGTGTTAGTTCCTATGTTTAGTTGTTCCTTGTTTTCTGTCTAGATCGTTTAGATCTATGTTGGCCAGGGTGGTTCCCGATCAGAGGCAGCTGTTGCTCGTTGTCTCTGATTGGGAACCATACTTAGGCAGCCTGTTTTGCACAGTTGATTGTGGGATCTTGTTCCGTAGGGTTTTGTGTATAACCTAGGACTTCACGTATCGTTTGGGTTATTGTTTTGGTTCGTGTAAGTACAATAACAAAGAATGTACGCTTATCACGCTGCGCCTTGGTCCGCTTCATGTGTCGACGATCGTGACAATAAGGGTGGCAGCATAGCTGTTATGAGCATTGGGCCAGTAACCGAAAGGTCACTGGATTGAATCCCTGAGCCAACTAGATGAAAAATCTGTCAATATGCTCTTGAGCAAGGCACTTAACCCTAGTTGCTCTGGATACGAGTGTCTGCTAAATGTAAAAATGTAATATATACAGTGGTGGAAAAAGTTTGAATTGTCATACTTGAGTAAAAGTAAAGATACCTTAATAGAAAATGACTCAAGTGAAAGTCACCCAGTAAAATATTACTTGAGTAAAACTCAAAGTATTTGGTTTTAAATATACTTAATTATCAAAAGTAAATGTAATTTCTAAAATATACTTAAGTGTCAAAAGTACAAGTATAAATCATTTTAAATTGCTTATATTAAGCAAACCATATGGCACCATTTTCTAATTTTTTTAATTTACGGAAAACCAGGGGCACACTCCAACACTCAGACATCCTTTACAAACGAAGCATGTGTGTTTAGTGAGTCAGAGGCAGTAGGAATGACCAGGGATGTTCTCTTGATAAGTCTGTGAATTTGACCATTTTCCTGTCCTGCTAAGCATTCAAAATGTAAGAGTACTTTTGGGTGTCAGGGAAAATGTATGGAATAGTCCCCTGTAGCTCAGTTGGTAGAGCATGGCGCTTGCAACGCCAGGGTTGTGGGTTCGTTTCCCACGGGGGGCCAGTATGAAAATGTATGCACTCACTAACTGTAAGTCGCTCTGGATAAGAGTATATGTAAAAAGTACATTATTTTCTTCGTAAAAGTAGTCAAAAATATCAATAGTATAGTAAAGTACAGATACCCCAAAAAACAAAATAAGTAGTACTTTAAAAAACAAAATAAGTAGTACTTTACTTAAGTACTTTACAGCACTGAATGTATTGGGATATCATATCGGAACACAGAAGCACACATTCTACACACAAAAAACAGGCCAGCAATGTTTAGAGATGTTTTGGACCTCTGTGTAACCCCACCCCCATTAGCTTGGTCACCCCAGAGACCGACAGCACGGTGTGATTGTTAGGTGCAACTGTTGACTCACTCAGCTGCCACAAATGGAAAGTAGCTTTCCCACTCCTTATATGGACATATTGGAGATCCAAACCGGATATCAGTGCAACCTTTATTATTGTCCCTTGACTTTCTGGCCCGCGCCAGTGTTCTGATAAAAATGCAAATAAACACCCGACAAAATATTATTCGTCCTCAGAAAAATACATTATTGTTGAATTATTCTGTAATAAATTTATATTTGAGATAACTGACAAGTATTTACGTTTTATCACATTTAAAGATCTTGTTTTACTCCGGAAGAAATGTGGGGGAGGTCCTTCTATTTCCGTGTCTGGGGAGATAAGTGGTGTGATTTCAGCGTCTGTTTTGAACAGTTAAAAAATGCAGGTTTGTAAAATTATATCACTTTTTCCAGCTATAGAAAAAGTATTAATGAAGGTCATAGCTGACGTTTCGAGCAATATGAGTATATATCTGTTCGCACGCCACCTTGATTGGGACATAGCTAGCTAACGTTAGCTGCATAAACGTTAGCTAATGTTCGCTAGGTGTAATAGCACAGATTAAAAGGTGGTTACCGGTAGTTATAAGTATCTTTGGTAATGCCAAAGAGCCTAGCTATAGATGGTTTAAAAACTCTGTGGTAGTACAGAATGGCAAACCAACAACACTGTTTGAGTGCAGTGAAGATATAATAAAACTCCAATGATCTGTTATTTCTCAATCTCAGGACCCTAACGCAGATACCGAGTGGAATGACATCCTGAGGAAGAAGGGGATCCTTCCTCCCAAGGAGAAAACTCAGGATGAGGTTGACGAGGAAGCTCTAGAGCAGCAGATTCTTCTTCAGCAAGAATCTGTTGGTAAGAGATGGCTATTAATATCATCTTATAGCTACTAGGTTTCTCCTAAAATGGTCTAGGAACAGTTTTTCTGATGTTATTCTTAATTTTTAACTAACAGGACATGGTTTTGGAAGGCTGATCCTTGGCCAACAACATCCTCTGTTAGTAGTTTTAATACCTTAAATGGTACTTTTTTGGACATTTTCTGACTGTGGTGTTTTGTGACCAGTAAAAACCTATGAGAGTATGACACTGGACCAGCTGGATGAGAACGAGGATGACTTCAGTGAAGAGGATGAGGCCGCCATCGAGATTTACAGGTCAGTGACCGCTCAAAGCATTACTAAGATGGTACATTATACATACAACAGGTATTGGCTGCCCTATGGCCCGGGGCCAAAGCTGAGCAATCAGGGCAAGTTGAGCCGGTTCTGTAGTTGCCCCATTGGGCATATGAATTATTTTACTGAAAACAACCTAACTGCAAATAATTTCTGGTTCCTCCCCTATGTCTGTGTAAACAGCTAATTTTAAGTCTTTGGGCAACCAAAAATACTCCTCACTCGATGGGCAAGTGACTTTCAGACCTTAATGTCAGTCCCTTAATAAAACCTACTGCCATTAAAAGAGATGCTGAAAATGTAAAGCACCATTGTGGCTACCATGTTAATGGTGATATAGCCTTTTACATCCAAAATAGAGAATGACAATGTTATGACCTTTGTTATTACCAGGATTAACCTACATTGCCTTAACTCTCCATTTCCCTCTCACCAGGCAAAAGAGGCTTGCAGAATGGAAAGCCACCCAGATAAATAATTGCTTTGGGGAGGTAGTGGAGATCTCTGGGCAGGACTACATCAAGGAGGTGAACAAAGCTGGAGAGGGCATCTGGGTCGTGCTGCATCTCTACAAACAGGGGTGAGTGTTCTGCCATTTACTTCCCTCTGTCGATAGATAGATGGCGGTAGAGCACACCGATTCATGCTTCCAAAAAGTGATGTTTTGATTTTATTTGAGATCTGATGAAAACCAGTCAATGGTCAAAACTTTATTGGCCAAGACCTTATTTGAAAATCATGAAGCAAGGTTTTCATATAAGCCTGATTAACAGTGGTCCTTTTTAAATTGCTCTGAATAGGTCGATCTGCCAAATATATAGATTTAACTAATTGACCCATTGTAATCGAATCTCTGTTTCATTCTCTCACCCTCCCAGCATTCCTCTGTGCACCCTGATAAACCAGCATCTGTCAGAGATGGCCAGGAAATTCCCCCAGACCAAGTTCCTCAAGTCCATCTCCACCACCTGCATCCCCAACTACCCCGACCACAACCTACCCACCATCTTCGTCTACCACGAGGGAGAGATGAAGGCACAGTACATCGGGCCTCTGGTCTTCGGGGGAATGAACCTCAAAGTTGAAGGTAAGAGACAATCGCCTCAGCTACTTTCGTAGGATACTATTAGCTACATGATATGGTAGTTTGTGCTGTCCAATGTGTATACTTCTCACCTTCAGATTTGTGCATTGTCAGTTTTGAATGACAATTCCTTAGACTTTCTCTACTAGATATTTAAATCTGCTGTATACTATCATCCTCAGAGCTGGAGTGGAGGTTATCAGAATCTGGCGCTGTCAAGACAGACCTGGAAGAAAACCCCAAGAAGCAGATTGAAGACAAGCTGATGTCGTCGATCCGATCTACTCTCCCCACACGGAAAGACAGTGACTCCGATGAGGACTAGCCACGTAACACCAAATAACATTATTCTAATGCTCAACCATCACTGTGTGTGAGGATGGCTCTCTCCTGTGGTGATGTGGTAAACTGCACACCTCTCCCTCTCTCCCTATGTACCTCAGTCAGCAGAGAGGCTCCATCAGAGTACTATGCCACCCCGGTTGAAGGATCTCTTGTGTTACGAGATCATTCTCCTAAATCAGATCTGAACTAAAGTGTTTTTACAGAACCTTTGGTTGAAGAAGATTATTTGTCCTTTTTTATTTAGCATATACGTTTGATAATATATGACAATATAAATGTATACATTTGTAATTGTTTAAATTAAATGTAAGTAGCCATTCACCCATGCCATAATCACAGTTGACGGTTTTTATAAAGTGTTCGCCCTGATCTGTGTAACCATCACATAAAGGACTCCTTTGATGTATTTGTGTATGTGCAATTGTCTACAAAATGGCAAAGTACAGATACCTCATCTTAAATCACTAAATATTTACATTTACCAACAAATCAGGAAGACACTACAATCTGCAATGCAGTTATATTTATCTCCAATAATTTATTTCTCAAAAATATCAAGTCCATTGCCAGAGACCACTGAGGATGCTGCTTCTAGCTGTCCCTCAGTCTGCCATTTTGTGCTCAATGTTCAGGGGGGTTGCAGTGTGCTGGTGTCTTCTGTCCAGTTATTCCAAAGTCAGATTTTTACATCACACCATCAGGGACATCCCGGAGCTTCTGTGTAGCAAGGAATAGAGAGAACCTCAGTCCTAGTTTGTGGCATTTCTTGAATTGTCTACTTTGTCCTAACTTTTAATTATGTAGATTCTAATCAGGGGTAGTATATACTGTATGTCTAAAGTACATATTGAGCCTTGCGGACTGGCCACAGAAAGACTGTGGTCCTCAACCTCTAAGAGAAAGGCACTGGAGAAGCTTTCACAAACTCTTGAGCTTCAATCAGAAAAGGATACACGGACACTGCTGACCTGCAAACCAATATTTAATTTCAGAATTGGTTAAAATGACATTAAGGTTAGGGTTAAGGGTTTGGTGAAGGTCAGGGTTAAGGATTTGGTGAAGGTCAGGGTTAAGGGTTTGGTGAAGGTCAGGGTTAAGGGTTTGGTGAAGGTTAGGGTCAGATTTAGAGTTTAGTTAGTCGTCTTGCAGGTCAGCAGTGTCCTTGTAGTCTCTCCCGCTTCAATATTGATATTCTGCTAATCATCAGGGTTGAAACAGCACAGGGTCCTTACCAAAAGCATGTGCTGCTTCTTTCTCCTCTGAGACAGTTTGGGTGACAGGCGCATCAGCGGGTGCACTGAATGGGACTAGAGAGGAGAATGCCTGTTAGATTCCAATCACATTGAATTACTAAATAATCAGATCAATGAAACATTATAACAAACACAGACTAAAGACAAAATCCCATACTGTGCCGTCCAGGAAATCAAATGACACTGTTGCTTATATGCCACATTGTATGTGATGTGAACAATCAAAAATAACATGGTTGTTTAAGGGTGTATACATAGTTCTAATTTGCTCTCAGACATAATTCACTAACATTCTGAAGCAATATTGAAATACAATTTGTGCACCGAGGAGTGTTTCTCTACTTACCGCATGCTCTACAGAGTCTACCGAGTTGTCCTTTGAATAGTGAAACAGGAACTGACGAAAAGAGCATATACAAAGTCAACACTGTTCCAAAGACAATGAATAGTACGCCTGCAAGTTTACCTCAGTATTTTGAGGAATAAGGTATAAACAAGTATTTAGGAATAGGGTGTGATATTGTTGAGGAACTTACTCTTTTGAATACATTCTGAACTTGCTCCTGTGATGGGGAGAGGGACAGGGAGAGAATAATTACACTGGCGTCAGAACTGCTATCGTATACCATCTGATAAGATTGAGTCATACGGTAGCTAAGCCTTACCTCATTCTGATCCCTCCCCATCATATCACCAACATCAGTCTGGCTCCCAGGACCCTGCAGCAGACAAATCAATGGTCAATGATAAAACGCAAGTCTATAACACATCACAAGGCACTAAACCTAAGCAAACATAAAAGCTGTTGTACATGACATCCACTGTATACCTATTGCAAAGTAATGATCGTGTTTCAGTCATCGGCGTGTCTAGTTGATAGGAGTGGGTGGAAGTCCTATATATTCTTATCCCCCTCCAGTCTTTTAATTTACAGTGACTCACTTGTGTCCGCAACCCCCTCACCACGTATAACCTAGCCCAGTCACAACAAGTAACAAGAAGCACCATTTAATTTGGTTGGAATCACCTGCTGACCCCCAATCAGACACAGATGCGATTTCTCCAGTGGTGCAAACAAAGCAGATAACACTAATGCCGTCTGTGACCAGAACTCTCCTCTGATGAATGCAGTAGAGGACTGAGATGTTTAAACAGTGAAAGATTGACACACAGATACAGACAGAGTGATACATATTCAAGGGATGTATTGATTTATTTGGGTCTAGAACACCTTCATACTACATTTTAACACTTTGTCTCTGGTATCAGGTAAGGAAATGTAGCCTTGTTGTCAATCTAATAATTCATTCATAAGTAATTAATAATTAATTTAAAATCAAATTTCACAATATTTGTTCGAATTACACAATTGCCTTTTATTTGCACTTTTCATGTATAGGCATGCATAAAAAACACTTAAAAAACAATGTCCCATACCCTTCTGAAAGCAATTCCATGTTCACGCTCTTTGTATGGACTAGCCTCTATAGAAAGAAAAAAAGTATGTTTCAAAAGTATACATTTTTTTATTTTATCAATCTATAACATACAATAAATGCATGTAATAGCCAACAACAATATAAATAGCTAATTCAACAACAACAAAAATCGATTTCAGATTTTAAGAAGACAGATAGCTTAAGTTATACAGAAATGTTGAAGTTAATTTAAATTATATAAATCATCTTCTCTCACCTGTCACCTTCCAACATCCAAGGTACCAGACCAATTGAAGTAGGCAAAGTTGTTGCAGATAAGAAGCGCTCATCTCGAGCTATGAGATTCTAATGCGCTTTGGTGAGGGTATATGCGCTCTGTGTGTGGTTTGGTGGTGTTGCCGGAGGAAGTCTTGTTATATTGCCACGTCAGGTCACAGAATTGAACCCTACTGACTTTCTCATCCGACACAATTATATAGGCTATAACTTTGATGGAAGAAGCATAATCTCCTACGCAGAGGTGACCAATCAACGTCCCACTGGTCTCCTTGGTCATCATCTGAGTGTTTGTGCGCAAGTCCCCTCTCCCTCGTCATTTTGAACGGTTTTAAGATATATTTAGATATGGAAAATAAATCAAAGAAATCCATCAAAAACAGGATATCAACCAAATATCGAAATGAAAGTTATAAAACTCGTGTCAAATATTTTTCCAGTGCACTTGATTATCGGAAATTGTGATGAATAATGACCTCGTGATGTTCAAGTTCATTGAAAACCATAAACAACCAAGTAAATGTCACATACAGTGCTTTCGGAAAGTATTCAGACACCTTCACTTTTCCCACATTTTGTTATGTTACAGCCTTATTCTAAAATGGATTAAAAAATACGTATCCTCAGCAATCGACACACATGACCCCATAAAGACGAAGCGAAAACAGGTATTTAGAAATTTTAGTAAATTTATTCAATATAAAAAACAGATATACCTTATTTACATAAGTATTCAGACCTTTTGCTATGATACTCGAAATTGAGCTCAGGTGCATCCTGTTTCCATTGATCATCCTTGAGATGTTTCTACAACTTGATTGGAGTCCACCTGTGGTAAATTCAATTGATTGGACATTATTTGGAAAGGCACACACCTGTCTTTATAAGGTCCCACAGTTGACAGTGCATGTCAGAGCAAAAACCAAACCATGAAGTTGAACGAATTGTCCGTTGAGCTCCGAGACAGCATTGTGTCGAGGCACAGATCTGGGTAAGGGTACCAAAAAAATTCTGCAGCATTGAAGGTCCCCAAGAACACAGTGGCCCCCATCACTCTTAAATGGAAGAAGTTTGGAACCACCAAGACTCTTCCTAAACCTCGTCAAACTGAACAATCGGGGGAGAAGGGCTTTGGTCAGGGAGGTGACCAAGAACCTGATGGTCACGCTGACAGATCTCCAGAGTTCCTCTGTGGAGATGGGAGAACCTTACAGAAGGACAACCATCTCTGCAGCACTTCACCAATCAGACCTTTATGGTAGAGTGGCCAGACAGAAGCCACTCCTCAGTAAAAGGCACATGATAGCCCGTTTGGAGTTTGCCAAAAGGTACCAAAAGACTCTCAGACCATGAGAAACAAGATTCTCTGGTCTGATAAAACCTAGATTTAACCTTGGCCTGAATGCCAAGTGTCACGTCTGGAGGAAACCTGGGACCATCCCTACGGTGAAGCATGGTGGTGGCAGCATCATGCTGTGGGGATGTTTTTCAGCACAGAGTACAGAAAGATCCTTGATGAAAACCTGCTCCAGAGCTCTCAGGACCTCAGACTGGGGCGAAGGTTCACCTTCCAACAGGACAACAACCCTAAGCACACAGCCAAGCCATCGCAGGAGTGGCTTCGGGACAAGTCTCTGAATGTCCTTGAGTGGCCCAGCCAGAGCCCGGACTTGAACCCCATCGAACATCTCTGGAGAGACCTGAAAATAGCTGCGCAGCAACACTCCCCATCCAACCTGACAGAGCTTGAGAGGATCTGCAGAGAAGAATGGGAGAAACTCCCCAAATACAGGTGTGCCAAGCTTGTAGCGTCATACCCAAGAAGACCCTATGCTGTAATCGCTGCCAAAGGTGCTTCAACAAAGTACTAAGTAAAGGTCTGAATACTTACGGTATGTAAATGTGATATTTCCGTTTTTTTATTTGTAATAAATTAGGAGAATTTTCTAAAAACCTGTTTTTGCTTTGTCATTATGGGGTATTGATGAGGGGAAAAAAACATTTTAATCAATTTTAGAATAAAGCTGTAACGTAACAAAATGTGAAAAAAGTCAAGGGGTCTGAATACTTTCCGAAGGCACTGTATCTGTGTGTGTATCTATTTACAATTCTTTTCAATCTGTGATCTTGAGAATGAAATCTGTGATTTTTTTGAATTAAAATGTGTCATCTACATTTACATTTTTGTCACTTAGCAGTCGCTCTTATCCAGAGAATCTTACAGTTAGTGCATTCATCTTAAGATAGCTAGGGGAGACAACCACATATCACAGTCATAGTACAAATAGCCTACAGTTTTTCGTCAATAAATTAGCTATTAGCAAAGTCGGTGCTGGTAAGAAAAGACAAGGACCATGGTTATCTTAAGAAAAGCAAGGGTGTTAGTCTCATTTGCCTCTTCTAATCTCACCTAACTGAAGCTACAGTTGAAGTCGGAAGTGTACATACACTTAGGTTGGAGTCATTAAAACTCGTTTTTCAACCACTCCACAAATGTCTTGTTAACAAACTATAGTTTTGGCAAGTCGGTTAGGACATCTATTTTGTGCATGACACAAGTCATTTTTCCAACAATTGTTTACAGACAGATTATTTCACTTAAAATTCACTGTATCACAATTCCAGTGGGTCAGAAGTTTACATACACTAAGTTGGCTGTGCCTTTAAACAGCTTGGAAAATTCCAGAAAATGATGTCATGGCTTTAGAAGCTTCTGATAGGCTAATTGACATCATTTGAGTCAATTGGAGGTGTACCTGTGGATGTATTTCAAGGCCTACCTTCAAACTCAGTGCCTCTTTGTGTGACATCATGGGAAAATCAAAAGACCTCAGAAATTTTTTTGTAGACCTCCTCAAGTCTGGTTCATCATTGGGAGCAATTTCCAAATGCCTGAAGGTACCACGTTCATCTGTACAAACAATAGTACCCAAGTATAAACACCATGGGACCACGCTGCCGTCATACCGCTCAGGAAGGAGACGCGTTCTGTCTCCTAGAGATGAACATACTTTGATGCAGAAAGTGCAAATCAATCCCAGAACAACAGCAAAGGACCTTGTGAAGATGCTGGAGGAAACGGGTACAGTAAAACGAGTCCTATATCGACATAACCTGAAAGGCCGCTCAGCATGGAAGAAGCCACTGCTCCAAAACCGCCATAAAAAAGCCAGACTACGGTTTGCAACTGCACATGGCGACAAAGATCATACTTTTTTTTTCTGGTCTGATGAAACAAAAATAGAACTGTTTGGCCATAATGACCATTGTTATGTTTGGAGGAAAAAGGGCGAGTTTGCAAGCCGAAGAACACCATCCCAACCGTGAAACACGGAGGTGGCAGCATCATGCTGTGGGGGTGCTTTGCTGCAGGAGGGACTGGTGCACTTCACAAAATAGATGGCCTCATGAGGAAGGAAAATGATGTGGATATATTGAAGCAACATCTCAAGACATCAGTCAGGAAGTTAAAGCTTGGTCGCAAATGGGTCTTCCAAATGGACAATGACCCAAAGCATACTTTCAAAGTTGTGGCAAAATGGCTTAAGGACAACAAAGTCAAGGTATTGGAGTGGCCATCACAAAGCCCTGACCTCAATCCTATATAACATTTGTGGGCAGAATTGAAAAAGCGTGTGCGAGCAAGGAGGCCTACAAACCTGACTCAGTTACATCAGCTCTGTCAGGAGGAATGGGTCAAAATTCACCCAACTTATTGCGGGAAGCTTGTGGAAGGCTACCCGAAACATTTGACCCAAGTTAAACAATTTAAAGGCAATGCTACCAAATACTAATTGAGTGTATGTAAACTTCTGACCCACTGGGAATGTGCTGAAAGAAATTAAAGCTGAAATAAATAATTCTCTCTACTATTACTCTGACATTTCACATTCTTAAAATAAAGTGTTGATCCTAACTAATTTTTACTAGGATTAAATGTCAGGAATTGTGAAAACAGAGTTTAAATGTATTTGGCTAAGGTGTATGTAAACTTCCGACTTCAACTGTACATGAATGTCAGTGTTGTCTGTGCACATTTAATATTTAAGTGTAATTTTTCAGTCTTCATTAGTTTGACCACAGAGAATGACTGTGATTTCCCTATGTAGGTGTGAAAGGTGACTGTGTGGGTCGGTGGATCGAGTTTCACCTGGAGACAATATTCCAGAGAGGCTGGGGATTTGCTGTACCTGTTCGATTGACCATGGATGGAAAATAGGGCAGAACACTCAAGGAGACCCAGACCCCCGCCTTGGAAAATGTAAAACACAACCACATGTAACTTCTCCATGCTGTCTGTTTAGTCTATCCTAATTAGTAGTTATGATTGCTTATAACATGGTTATGAATGCTTATTACATCCTATAACATCCTGCTTCTGACAGAGTCACTATGCTCTATGATGGAAAAACAAAAGATTTTGCAGTTAGAATTCAGCTTTACATATCCTTACTGTATGTGCTTGTCTTTGTTCTAGGTTCCCTGAGCAGTGATTCTATGTTGTATCGACAATATTATACTCAACAAAAATATAAACGCAACATGTAAAGTGTTGGTCCAATGTTTCATGAGCTGAAATAAAAGATCTGAGAAATGTTCCATAAGAACAAAAAGCTTATTTCTCTAAAATGATGTGCACAAATTTGTTTACATCCCTGTTCCTGAGCATTTCTCCCTTGCCAAGATAATCCATCCACCTGACAGGTGTGGCATATCAAGAAGCTGATTAAACAGCATGATCATTACACAGGTGCACCTTGTGCTTGGGACATTAAAAGGTCACCGCTCTCCGCTCCAGACCTCCAGTCCGCCTTCGCAGTCCGGTCCGGCCCGTTCCTGCTCCTCGCACCAAGCCAGTGGTGCGCGTCGCCAGCCCGGCCCAGCCTGTTCCTGCCCCTCGCACCAAGCCAGTGGTGCGCGTCGCCAGCCCGGCCCGGCCCGGCCTATTCCTGCTTCTCGCACCAAGCCAGTGGTGCGTGTCGCCAGTCCGGCCCGGCCTGTTCCTGCTCCTCGCACCAAGACAGTGGTGCATGTTCCTAGTCCGGTTCGGCCCGTGCCTGCTCCTCGCACCAGACCAGTGGTGAGTGTGTCCAGTCCGGCACGGCCCGTGCCCGTTCCAACGGTGCCTTGTCCGGCACTAGTCAACAGCTCCAGTCCGGA